AACTGAAGACTAGCTGGAGAGAACCCTGATGACCAAAGATAGAAAGAGGAGGACCACAAGGCAACTGGTAGGAGGGGTAAAAAATGCAAAAGGGCTGGCCGGTTCCCAAAGACAGCTGCTTAAGTCCCAGGGTCTAATCCACAAGCTGGGCCTCCCAGCAGAAAGCACCAAAACTGGGAAAGGTGCCCACATAACAACTGGCTGTAAAAACTAGCAGGGATGCTATCGGCCAGGGAAAGATGACTGGAAATGCAGGCACTCTTTTAAAAGGTAAACGCACAAAATTTCATGTGCAACCACTCACCTTGGGCTTTGGCAAAGGGAAGGGAAGAGTGGATTGGAGCTGTGTGAGCAGAAGGCAGGGTTGGGCCTCTGGGGTAAGAGTTCGGAAGGCAGATAACCTGGTTTCCTGTGCTAAGTCATAACCTTATGCTGCAGAGAACATCTTTTTGTCTGACGTTTATAGAACATTTCACCCCAAAACTGCAGAATATACATTCTTCTCAAGTGCATATGGGTCATTCTCAAAGACAGACCACATGTTAGGACAGAAAACAAATCTCCACAAGACTGAAATCCTATCAAGCATCTTCTCAGATCGTAACGAAATGAAATTAGAAATTAACTACAGTAAAAACACCCAAAAACATCCAAACACATGGAGGCCAAATAGCATGTTATTAAACAACTAATGGGTTACCAACAAGATCAAGAAAGAATTCAAAAACTTCCAGTGAAAAAACGAAAACACACAACAACCCCAAATCTCTGGGACACAGCAAAAACAGTCCTGAGAAGGAAGTTCATAGCGCTACAGGACTATGTAAAACAACAAGAAAAATTAATAATAAACTATTTAATCCTACAACTTAAAGAATTAGAAAGAGAAGAACAATAAAAGCCCAGAGTAACTAGCAGGAACTAAATAATAATGACTAGAGAAGAAATAAATGACATAGAGACTAAAAATAATAATAATAATAATATAAAAACATTAATAAAACCAAGAGTTGGTTCTATGAAAAGATAAAAAAGATTGATCAACTGTTAGTCAGACTCAGCAAGAAACAGAGGACCCAAATAAATAAAATCAGAAATGAAAGTGGTGTGAAGTAACAACTGACACCACAGAAATACAAACGATTATAAATATTTTTCCATGTATAAAACGCCCCCCCCCCCCTTTTCCAACCCAAAATAAAGAAATCAATATTTTAAACATTTTGCTGGTTTTCCTCTTAAGGCCTTCTTCTTTTTTGGCATCTTAAGGAGTTGTTCTTCCTGTTTTCTCCACTGTCTGATCATAGACTCAGTGGGAAGAGGTCCAAATTGTTTCTGCGGTTCTGTTTCCACGCTCTTTTGCATAGCTGATTACATTCAATTTGAATTTTGCAGAGTAAGACAATCGCTTACCAGTAATTATCTTTTTATTTTTTGACATCTTTATTGGCTCAGAATGCTCTGGTCCCTGTTGCATCTGCCCACTCTCTACCTCGATCTCAAATTACAGCATCAGCTGACATCAGTAACAATAAGGCTCATGAGGAAGAAGCCTCTTTGACAAGATATGGGCAGATACACACCTGCACGACTCCCTCCTCGGCTGACTTCCGTGTATAAGACACCCTCAATTTTCAGTCTAACGATTTTAGAAAAAAATAGGGTCTTATACACAAAAAATTACGGCACTATGAACAACTATATGGTATACCAAAAAACTGGATAATGTGGATGAAATGGACAAATTCCTAGAAAAATAAAATCTCCCAAAACTGGATCAGGAGGAATGAGAAAACCTGAGTAAGCCAGTAACAACTGAGGAAATAGAAGCAGTAAACAAAAGCCCGGGTCAGGATGGCTTCACGGAATTTTACCAAACATTCAAAGATGAACATCTATACTCCTCAACCTATTAAAAAAAATCCAAGAGGAAGGAACACGTCCAATCTCTTTTTATGAGGCCAGCATTAACCTAATTCCAAAACCAGATAAAGACACTACAAAGAAAGAGAATTACAGGCCAATAACCCTGATGAACACTAATGCTAAAATCCATAACAAAATATTAGCAAGCCCAGCAGGCATAACTCAATGGCTGAGCATTGACCCATGAACCAGGAGGTCACAGTTCGATTCCCAGTCAGGGCACATGCCTGGGTTGCAGGCTTGATCCCCAGTGTGGGGTGTGTAGGAGGCAGCCGATCAATGATTCTCTCTCATCATTGATGTTTCTTTCTCTTCCTCTCCCTTCCTCTCTGAAATCAATAAAACTATATTAAAAATAAAAGACTTGTACCTGGAAGAGTACAGGATGTTTGCAGGGAGTTAAGCCTCATACTGACCTGTGGCAGGGCCACAAACAAGTCCCAGCTTGGAGGACAGAGCCCTCTTAGCATAATTAAACTTACCCTTATATCCCTCCCTAGTTCCTTCCTAGGTAATGGGCTGTGGGAGGTGCAGCAAGTGCTGCCAAAACAAAGTGAAACTCACAAGAACATTGTAAACATTATATACCCTTGTTCTGCTTTGTGTGTTCTGACTATAAAATAAAGCTTCAACTTGCAGGCTTGGCACTGTCTCTCCATCAGAGAAGCAGCATTCCACCCAGCCCCAGCTGTATTCTCTTGTCTGTCTTCTTTAATCCTTCACCGCCCCTCCTCAGGCTCACCAAACCTGCCCATGCTGGATGCGGCACAGACATTGAAAAAGAGATAGAAGTAAATATAAGCAAATGGAAGAATATACCGTGTTCATGGATTGGTAGAATTAACATCATTAAAAAGTCCATACTACCCAAAGGAAGTCAGAGATTCAATGCAAACCCTATTAAAACACCAACAACATATTTCACAGATCTAGAACAAATACTCCAAAAAATTATATGGAACCAAAAAAGACCCCAAATAGCTGCAGAAATCTTGAGAAAGAAGAACAAATTGGAGGACTCATAATACCAAATATCAAGTTATACTACAAACCCAACATAATCGAAACAGCCTGGTACTGGAAGAAGAACAGAACAGAAACCCCAGCAATCGACCCAAGCCATTACACTCAATTAGTATTTGACAAAGGAAGCAAGAACATACAATGGGACGAAGACAATCTCTTCAATAAATGGTGTTAGGAAAATTGGGCAAGTCCATGCAAGAAGTGAAATTAGATGCCCCAACAAGAATAAACTCAAAATGTATAAGAGTTAAATTTAAGTTGTGAAATCATAAAAATCTTAGAAACCATAGGCAGCAAAATCTCAGACATTTCTCATAGCAGTATGTTTACCAATACATCTCCTAGGGCAGCGGTTCTCAACCTGTGGGTCGAATGACCCTTTCACAGGGGTCGCTTAAGACCATCCTGCATATCAGATATTTACATTACGATTCATAACAGTAGCAACATTACAGTTATGAAGTAGCAACGAAAATAATTTTATGGTTCGGTCACAACATGAGGAACTGTATTTAAAGGGCCAGAAGGTTGAGAACCACTGTCCTAGGGCAAAGGAAACTAAGGAGAAAATAAACAAATAGGACTACATGAAAATAGAAAGCTGCACAGCAAAAGAAACCATCAACAAAAAGAAAAGGAGAGCCCACTGTATGGGAGAACATATTTGGCAATGATACATCTGAAAAAAAGATTAATATCCAAAATATATAAGGAACTCATACAACTTAACAAAAGGAAGACAAACAATCCAATTAAAAAATGTACAAAGGACCTAAATAGACATTTCCCCAAAGTGGACATACAAATGGCTAAAAGACATGTGAAAAAATGCTCAAAGTTACTGATCATTAGAGAAATACAAATTAAAACAACAATGAGCCCTGGCTGGTTTGGCTCAGTGGATAGAGCGTCAGCCTGCGGACTGAAGGGTCCCAGGTTCGATTCCGGCCAAGGGCATATGCTTTGGTTGCAGGCACATCCCCAGTGGGGGGTGTGCAGGAGGCAGCTGATCGATGTTTCTCTCTCATCTATGTTTCTGACTCTCTGTCCTCCTCCCTCCTCTCTGTAAAAGATCAATAAAATATATTTTTTAAAAAATAAAAAATAAAATTAAAAAATAAAAATAAAACAACAATTAGGTATCACCTCAAACCTGTCAGAATGGCTACCATGAACAAATCAACAAATAACCAATGCTGAGGAAGATGTGGAGAAAAGGGACCCCTCGTACAGTACTGGTGGGAATGCAGACTGGTACAGCCATTATGGAGCTTAAAAAATTAAATAAGGAACTGCCATTTGACCCAGTGATCCCACTTCTAGAAATAGATACTAAGAAATCTGACACACCAATCAGACAGAATATATGCATCCCTATGTTCATAGCAGCACAATTTACAATAGCTAAGATCTGGAAACAGCCCAAGTGCCCATCTGTAGATGAGTGGATAAAAATGTTGTGGTATACAATGTTTATACCATGGAATACTAGTACTATGCAGCCATAAAAAAAGAGGGATCTCTTACCCTTTGAGACTGCATGGAGGGACCTGGAGAGTATTATGCTAAGTGAAATAAGCCACTCAGAGAAAGACAAGTATCACATGATCTCACTCATACATGGAATCTAATGAACAAAATAGATCGAGAGACATCGAATCACAGAACAGATTGTGGAATCTCAGAGGGAAGGCGGGGGAAGGTGGGTGAGTGGGAAATGATCAACCAAAGAACTTGTATGCATATATGCATAGCCCATGCACACAGACAATAGGATGGTGAAGACCTGGGTGTGGGTCGGGGCTGGTAGAGGTGTCAATGGGAGAAAAAAGGGGACATACATAATACTTTCAACAATAAAGATTTTTAAAATAAATAAATAACAGCAAAATATAGAAGCCTTTCCTTATATTAAAAATTCTAAACGAACAGAATAGGGAAGGGGAAGAAATATCCAAGTTAATTACAACACTATGCAAAGGACTAGTTCTTTCAGTTGTGTTTGAATTCTGTAACTTGATCATTAAAATCCCTCGGTCTTATCTTACCTTTGGAACCAAAAGCAAAATCCCCAGAATTACTGGAAGCCAAGTCTGCAAATGACAGTCCTGTGTTGTTTCCAAATCCAAATGAAATCGTTTTGCTTTCCACTGGCAAAAGGAAAAGAGAATTTAATATTTCATTTAATAAACATCAAAGTTTTATTGAGGACCCAATGACAGTAAGGTCTTTAGTACTTAGGGGCTTGGGTTGGGTATGAAGCATTTATCTTATGGTTATTTCTCTGAAAAAAATTATAAGAGTCAGCCAATTCTGAGCTTATTCAGTATTTCTAAAGGTACAAGTATTATTTTCAATACCACTATACCAAAAGCATGCCAAATATAATTTTTAATATGTTTTCATTAATTTGAGAGAGGAAGAGCGAAGGAGAAAGAGAAACACCAATCAGCTGCTTCCTGCACTGGGTCTCAAGCTGTTGACCTCTTGGTGCACGGGATGATGCTCAACCAACTAAGCCACACCCGCCAGGGCCCAAATATAATCTTTCTTTAAATGAGATATATATATATACACAAGCCAGATACAGAAGTATACAGTTTGTGCTTTATACTGTCTTCTATAATCTAAAACATTCATTCAAAGGGAAGATTTTAGGAAATACCTTCATTAAAAATTTCTGTGTTCTCAATTATAAATAACAAGCTCATAAAACCTGATTTTTAAAAAATATTTGGTCATCAGGAATTTTGGAGTCTTGTCTTAATTCTGTCAAAGTGCAGCTGCAGTATCTCTTGAAGTCCTATGCACCTTACATTCCGCATCTAAAAATGCGATATTAGGTCTGACGTTACCTTCCTCTTGTACCATACTGAGACTCCAAAGTGCCATATTTGTGACTCATTCAGGACTACTTTTGAAAAAATTAGGGTGTTCTGAAAAAATTAGAGTGCCCTAGCTAGTTTGGCTTAGTGGATACAGCATCAGCTTGTGGACCAAAGGATCCCGGGTTTGATTCTGGTCAAGGGCACGTTACTTGGTTGCAGGCTCCTCCCCGGCCTAGGCCCTGATTGGGGCATGTGCATGAGACAACCAATCGATGCGCTTCTTTCACATCAGTATTTCTCTCTGTCTTTCCCTCTCTCTTCCATTCTCTCTAAAAAATCAATGGAAAAATATTCTCGGGGAGGATTAAAAATAAAAACATAAATAAAAATTTTTTAAAAAAAGAAAAAATTAGGTGATAAAGAAAATGTACGCATATAAAGCAATACAATGTTAAAAGATTTCCCCCCTCCTAATATCAACTGGAACGAAAAACGGGGGAAAGCATATTAAATATTAATTACTAAAAACAAATAGTTAATTTAAAGAAGTAGATAGAGAAAAAGAAAGACATTTAAGTACAGTTGACTCTTGAACAATTTGTGAAGTCAGGGGCACCAACCTCCAGTAGTCAATAATCCATGTATAACAACGGACGCCCCAAAAACTTAACTACTAATAGTCTACTGTTGTCCAAAGTTGATGACCACATATTTTTATGTTGTATATATTATATACTGTATTCTTACAATAAAGTAAGCTAGAGAAAAGATATTATTAAGAAAATCATAAGGAAAATACATTTACAGTATTTATTTAAAAAAACCCACATGTAAGTGGACCCATGCAGTTCAATTCAAGCACATGCTGTTCTTGGGTCAACTATAGTAACATAAATATTTAACATCCCTACTATAATATTTCTATAATTACTTCATATATACTTAAAACAATTTTAATAAACTTGAGTGACAATATAATTCAAACAATACAGCAGCTCCCCGATATATGTAATTTTGCTATCCATGGTTTCAGTTACCCATGGTCTACCATGATCCAAAAATATTAAATGGAAAATTTCAGAAATAAACAATTCATAAATTTTAAATTGTGTGCTGTTTTGAATAGTGTGATATAATTCACACCATCCCATTCCATCTCACATGGGACATGAGTCAGCCAGGCTACATAAAGTGCCCATCTAGCCCTAGCCGGCGTGGCTCAGTGGATAGAGAGCCTGCGGACTGAAGGGTCCCAGGTTCGAATCCGGCAAGGGCACATGCTAGAGTTGCAGGCTCGTTCCCCAGTAGGGGGTGTGCAGGAGGCAGCCAATCAATGATTCTCTCTCATCATTGATGTTTCTATCTCTCTCTCCTTCTCCCTTCCTCTCTGAAATCAGTAAAGAAATATATATTTAAAAAACAAAAAGTGCTCATCCAGTACTCACTTAGTAGCTGTCTTGGTTATCAGAGATAGGGAAAAGAGAGATCACATTAACATAACTTTTATTACAGTATATTGTAATAATTGTTCTATTTTACTATTAGTTACTGTTTTAATCTCTTACTGTAACTAATTTATAAATTGAATTTTATTATAGGTCAATATGTCAGTCTGCAGGTTCTGCATCATCCTTGAATTCAACCAACTGCAGGTAAAAAATATTCAACAACAAAAAACGTTGCTATACTATGTGCTTAGGCCTACTATGATTCCCTCTATATTGAACAAGTATGCTTTTTTCTTTGCCATTATCCCCTAAATCAGGGGTGGGGAAAGTCGGCCCACAGGCCATATAAGGCCCACAAAATAATTTGGTCTAGCCCTCCTAAGGCATTAGGGATGAGTTAAATGTTTGACCAAATATAGCAGGCTAATTTTAAGGTGATAATTTTGTATGGCTCGAGAATGTTGTTGTAAATATCCAAATGGCTCTCTTAGCAGAAAAAAGGTTCTCCACCCCTGCTAAACAATACAGCAACAACTATTTACAAATTATGTACATTGTATTAGGTATTATAAGTAATCTAGAGAAGATTTAAAGTATGCAAGAGGATGTGTGTAGTTTGTATGGAAACACTATATTTTACATACGGGAATTGAGCATCCACAGATTTTGGTAGGGAACGGAAGGGGATTCTGGAACCATTCCCCCACAGATACCCAGAGGTGACTGGTGACTGTGTGTGTGTGTGTGTATATATATATATATATATATATATATATATATATATATATATATATATATGGGGGAGAAAAAGGAGTATATGGGGTTCGGTACTATCTACAGTTTCAGGCTCGAAACATATCCCCTGCGAATAAGGGGGAACTACAAATAAAAATACCATCACAAAGAAAATTTCCATGTAAGCAAACTATCGTCATTTATTCTCGGGTAGTGTCATTTATTCTGAACTCTAACAATAAAAAGGCAGTAATTTCTAATTATTACAACAAATATCTTATGTCCATTTGTATATTACAAAACTTGTTTTAAGACAGGGAGTTTCTAGGATTGTTATCTTTTCAAACATACAGGTGTACATTACATAATGTATGCCTAGAAGGTTTTTGTAAACATGTATCAAATTTTACCTTGGTTTGTAGAATCTGCATCATTGTCCTTTCTAGTAGACAAATCTACAGGTTTGTCCACAGTTCCAGAAAAAGTAGATGGTGAGCAAATAGATTTGGTTATAAAATCAGGGTCTTCAGATTTGCATAAAAATGGTACAGTCACTTTAGTCCCACCTGTACACACACTGTCAGCCGTGCTAGTTATTTCCTCATTGTGGGATTTCTGCAAAGAAGTAATAAGAAACTGACAAAAAGGATCTTATACCCTATTTTAAAAGAAATCAAGACCTTGGGGTTCCAAACAAAATGGAGTAGCACACTTCACCTTATCTCTCCCATTCCACACTCCATCCTATCTCCCCTAATACCTACAACCAAACTGAATTTACTAGTAAACAGATAAAGCTCTTAGAAAAGCCTGTGAAAGGTGAATGAACGCAAGAAGATTAAGACTCTAAACCTTCAGGCACAATCTAGTAGTGAGAACCTTGTGAGGGTTTTTCACCCCTCCTCCCAGAAGAGTCCATAAAATTAGAGCTGTCATCCTAGGCAGTGGCTCAGTTGATTGGAGCATCATCCCATACACTAAAAGGTTGCAAGTTCAATTCCCAGTCAGGGCACATAACTAGGCTGGGGGTTCAATCCCTGGTTGGGATGAGTACAGGAGGCAACCGATCAATATTTTTTTCTCCCTCTTTCATCCTCCCTATCTAAAATCAATGAAAGCATATTGTTGGGTGAAGATTAAAAAAACAAACAAAAAACTGGAGCTGTCAATTGCATAGATGGAAAATGTCCCGAGAAGTTCTAGCTGGTTTGGCTCAGTGGATAGAGCACTGGCCTGGGGACTGAAGGGTCCCGGGTTCAATTCTGGTCAGGGGGCAAATACTCTTAAATGAAAACATAGAAGTTCTCAGCAAAGAAACAGAAAGTATAAAAAAAGAATCAAATGGGAATTTTATAATTTTAAAAGAATCTAATGGGAAAATACAGTAACAGAAATTTAAAATTTTATAGGACAATATATAGATGGTGGGCAATATATAGAGGGAATTTTTTTTGAGTTCTTCATAAGGAAAAAGACTGGTTATGAATAATACGATATACTTAACTCAAAAGAATGTCACAATGGCACAATGCAATCTCTTAAGTGCTCAAATTGCCAGCCCTCGTTATTTACACATTTTTGTAGCTTGCCCTGGTCCGTTTGCTCAGTGGTTAGTGCATTGGCCCCTCAAACCAAAGGGTCAAGGGTTTGATTCCCGGTACCTCGGTTATGGGCTTGATCCCCAGGGGGATCAGGATGGGTGCAGGAGGCAACAGATCAACGTGTCTCTCTCACATCAATTTCTTTCTTTCTCTCTCTCTCTCTCTCTCTCTCTCTCTCTCTCTCTCTCTCTCTCTCGTCTTTCTCTCCCTCTCTCCCTTCCACTCTCTCTTTAAAAAATAGAAAATTAATGGAAAAAATACCTTCAGATGAGGATAAACAAAGAGAAACTGAAAATAACCTTCAATGGATTAATGAATAAACTGTGGTGCATCCACACAATCGAATGCTACCTAGTTATAAATATAATGTTACTATAACACAATAACTTGGACAAATTTCAAGGGCATTATGCTAAGTGGAAAAAAACTGGTATCAAAGGTAACATGTGATTCCATTTTTATATAATAAAAGGCTAATATGCAAACCAAACAGAGGTACGACTGGTCGCTATGACACACACTGACCACCAGGGGGCAGGTGCTCAACGCAGGAGTTACCCCCTGGTGATCAGTGTGCTCCCACAGGGGAGCGCCACTCAGCCAGAAGCCGGGCTCACAGCTGGCGAGCACAGCAGCTGTAGCAGGAGCCTCTCTCGCCTCTGCAGCAGCACTAAGGATGTCTGACTGCTGGCTTAGGCCTGCTCTCCATCCCCCGAGGGCTCCCAGACTGTGAGAGGGTGCAGGCCAAGCTGAGAGACCCCCCCTCCCTACCCCTTACCCCAAGTGCACGAATTTCGTGCACTGGGTCTCTAGTTTTTATATGTTAATCTGGAAAAGGCAAAAACAGAAACAGAAAACAGATGAGTAGCCAGAGATTATGGGCGGGAGAGGATTTGCTCAGTATCTTGTCTGTGGTGGGAATTACAGAATTCAAGCATGTATAAGAACCCATAGAAAACACACATACACACATATACATACTACAAAAGTGAATTTTACTTAAGTATATAAAAATATTAATGCAAATGAAAAAGGTTATTTTTTAATATACTGAAACACCAAGGAAAATTCATTCTTATGTTTGTGTCAAATGTCTTAGAGTATTACAGCAATCTATACTAATAAAAGGGTAATATGCTAATTAGACCAGACATCTTCCAGATGTCCTTCCAGACAAAGCCACGGTGGCAGGGGCCAAAGCAGAGGCAGTTAGAGGTGATCAGGCCAGCAGGGAAGGGCAGTTAGGGGGCGATCAGGCTGGCAGGGGAGGGCAGTTAGGGACGATCAGGCCACCAGGGAAGAGCAGTTAGGGGCCTCAGGCAAGCAGGCAGAGGTGGTTAGGGGTGAACAAGCAGGCAGGCAGGTGAGCAGTTAGGAGCCAGTGGTCCCAGATTGTAAGATGGATGACCAACTGCAGGGATCAGGACTAAACCGGCAGTCAGACATCCCCAGAGAGGTCCCAGATTGGAGAGGGTGCAGGCTCAGCACTGACTGCAGCCGGTGCAGGGGCAGCAACCCAGCACTGACTGCCGAGGGGGCTGTGGATCAGGCCCAGAGAGAGGCCTGCAGAAAGAGAGGCAGGATCTGATCCCCAGCCTCCATGGAAGCTGTTGATCAGCCATTGCCTCTCTTTCTCTCCTGGTTTCGCCAGCAGCCATGCCTCTGTTTCTCTCCGGGCCTCCTCAGGGTCTGCTGATCAGCCCCACCTCTTTGATCAGGACCAGAGACAGGGCCACTGGTACAGAAAGCAACCAATCAGAACCAAATCTGAGTGAAGTGCCAGGAGCCAATGGCTGCCTAGGAGGCAGAGCTTTTGATGTTGACTGGCACAGAAACTGACCAATCAGAACCTAATCTGGGTGAAGTGTGAGGAGCCAATGGCTGCCTAGGAGGTGGAGCTTTTGACATTGGCATAGAAACCAACCAATCAGAACCTAATCTGGGTGAACTGCAAAGGCCGAACCTAAGGTGGGGGCTGAGGAGGAGTTGTAAGGGCAACAGCTGTTTGGTGTAAGGTGTAAGAAAGCAGTTCAATTTTTTCATGACTGGTTTGGTAGCATAGTGCATATGGCTGGCTATCAATTCAGATATAGGGATTATGTGTTTTTGTTTGCCAAGAGCATCTCCTCCTGCTGAAAAAGACTCCCCCATCACTGCCATTTAAGCAATCCTATCCTATATAATCTATCTATACTAATAAAAGGGTAATATGCTAATTAACCTGGTCAACCGGCCATCTTCCGGACGTCCGACTTCCTTCCAAACAAAGCCATGGTGGTGGGGGCCGAGGAAGAGGCAGTTAGGGGGAATTAGGCCGGCAGGGGAGGGCAGTTGGGGTCGAGATCAGGCCGGCAGGGGAGGGCAGTTAGGGGCGATGAGGCAGGAAGAGGCAGTTGGGGCGATCAGGCCGACAGGGGAGGGAAGTTAGGGGTGACATCAGGCTGGCAGGGGAGGGCAGTTAGAGGTGATCAGGCAGAGGCAGTTGGGGCGGTCAGGCAGGCAGGCAGGTGAGTGGTTAGAAGCCAGCAGTCCCAGGTTGCAAGAGGGATGTCCGACTGCCTGTTTAGGCCCGATACCACAGGGATCAGGCCTAAACCGGCGGTCGGAGATCCCCCAGGGGGTCCCCGATTGGAAAGGATGCAGGCTGGGCTGAGGAATCACTCCCCCTCCCTACCCCCCCCCCCCGGAATTTCGTGCACCAGGCCCCTAGTTACTTATAATAGCCAAAAAGTAGAAACAAACCAGATGGCCACAACAGATGAACAGACAACTAAAACGTGCTATTTTCCATATAATGGGATATCATCAACCATAGAAAATGAAATACAGATATATGTTGCAATGTGAATACCCCTAGAAACAAGTAAGTAAAAGAAGCCTATACAAATGATAACATATTATGACCTATTCATAGGGAATCTCCAGCATAGGCAAATCTACAGTGACATAAAGTACAACTGTGGTTAACTAGAGCTACAGCAGTTGAGTGGAAATAAGAAAGGCTAATGACTACCAAAGGTTACAAGATTCCTTTTTGTGATGATGAAAATTTCTAAAATTATTGTGGTTATGGTTGCACACCATGCAAATGTACTAAAAACCACTGAATTGTACACTTCAAAATTGTATCTGAATTGCATCGCAATAAACATAGGCTACATTACTTGGGGGATGGGTGTGCTTTAATTCAACTTCTAACAAATGCCCTGAATGAAAAACTCCTGTTAGACAAAGCAAATTATTTATTTGTCTTGTTCAAAACTGTATCCCCAATCCTCAGCACAGTGCTAGCTCATAGTAAACTCTAAATACCATACATAGTCATTTTATGCCAGGGATGCATATCTGCAGACCTTTCATAATCCAGTATGATTTATGCTGAGTGTGAAGTAGGAATAATGTATTCTAAAAGGATGGAAATCTACACCCATTATAACATGTTTTGACTTTAATCATTTTTAGTTCTCTCTTTCATCTGTGTATCAAAAGGTCCTCTCCTGCAAAGTTATAATTTTATAGCATTTTTTTCAATCTTTTCAGTGACTTATTACATTTAACTCTGTAACAAAGATATTTTGGAAGAGCTCCTAGTTGCTACTTAAAGAACATTATAATGTTACAAAATATTTTATAAGATTTTAAGTTATAAAATGTTTTGAAGTAATACATTAATCACTTCAAATAAAATATTTCAACAGCTATAGACAGCATGGTTGACAAAAAACTGAAAAAAGATATCAAATCCTTGTGTAACAAGCTTTGGCACCACAAGGTAGGAAAAGAATAAATAATGTACAATTCAGTCTGCACATCAACATTAAAATTATTTTCCAGTTTTATTTTTTAAGTTTTGTACATAAGAATGATGCACATTTATATTGCATTATTTTGCCCTAGCTGGTGTGGTCAGTTGGTTGGAGCACCGCCACATACACCAAAGGGTGGCAGGTTTGATCCCCAGTTGGGGCACATATGGGAGACAGACAATCCATCAGCCGATCCATCAATGTTTCTAGATTTTTTTCTCACAGTGATGGCCCTCCCCTCCCCTCCCCTCCTCTCCTCTCCCCTCTCTTCTCCTCTCTCTGTTCCTCTCTCTCTCCTCTCCTCTCTTTAAATCTATAGATTTATTTAGCATAGAGGCTACTGATGCAAAAACTACCAAAAGAACTTCCACAAATAAATCTATTAGTCAAAAATGAGAAAGGGATGTCATTATATTAGCTGATGACCATTGTACTGATAAATTAAAACCTACTGAATAGTTGCCACATCCTAGGTGGACAACTGGAAAAAGCAGCCAACTAGAATCCTCAGTCACAGACTATGAAGGGTAGTAAATTTCTTAAAGACACAGACCATGTACTGGACCACATCTCTCTGTAGCTACAGATCCTTTAATTAAACCATTGCATTCATAACTAACTCCAGGACTTTATTTCACTTTACCTTTCCAACAATAAAACAGTATTACTTGAGGGGACAAGGACCATTCTGAATACATATCAATAGATTATAAAAAAACTACTAGACAGGGACCTTCTCTTACAATTTCTGTGAAATATAAATTAAAACACCAAGGTGTTGATAGCTACTCAAATTATCACTACATTTGAGCTAAGAAAGTAATCAAATCACGAAATTATTGAAAAAGCAAGGTACAAAATAAGCCAAGGGAACTAGGTTTCAAATGCTGTATTTCCTATCCACTCTGCCCACCGTAGAATAAACTAACTTACATGAAAAATGAACCACTTAATACTGTTCTTGGTATTGTGGTAGGCATTCTTAGAAATATCTGCATAGTTTATGCCACCCCATTCCCCAAAACCGAACATACACAGAGGGGTGAACCTTTTTAGTCATCTATGAAAAGTCCACCTTCCCTAGACATAGTTGACTAAACTAGTAGATGCCTAATACGTTTGCTAGCCAAAACACATTATTACCATTTGGTAAGAACATTCTAGCTTATTGTATCAACAAAGCCAACTAAGCCAAAAGAAAAACAATGAAAGTGTCCTTACTTGGGCTTCCTGAACTTTTTGAAGCTCTGATTGAAAGTCTTCCCCATTTCCATTGTCCTCATCGGTATCACTGCCGACTCCACAAAAAAATGTAGGTGGAAGTTTTAATGTATCTGCTTTTGCCTTCTCTTCAACTGTTGGTTTCTTTTCCCAAACAATAATGCATTCTTTCTCATTTTCTGAAAATCCCATACAACACGCGCAAAAGAAAGTTAAGATAAAAGTAGTTGAAGTACAACTACTTTTACAACAATGGCCCAATTTTACAACAGACTCAGGTAACAAGACCTAAGTGCCAATGGAAAACAAGAACTAGCAGAACAGTATTTTTCACTTCATATTGTTTTAAAATACTTTAAATCACCACAGGCATATTACATAATAAAGTTGGTAATTACAAAAATAATCAAATTGGGAGGTTCCTTTCAAATAAAAGATTTTTTAAAAAACAATTAGTAATTTTAACTTTACATACCTGTTACACTTTTTTCTAATGGTTTATATTTTTCTGAGTCATCCAGATATAGTTTTCCATTAAGTTTCTTGACAGCTGTTTCAAAATCTTCATCTTAAAGTATAATTGATTTTATTAAATAAAAGAATTTCTAGTGTTTTCCTAGCCAGAAATCTAGAAATTATCTCTAACTTCAGACTTTTCCTTACTCCCCACATGCAAACAGCAATCATTTTGACAATTATATATCTCTAATGCACCTTCTGATAGAAATCTCACTGAAAACTCACCTCTTGTTTGAGCTGCTCTATTATCATTTTAGCTCATCTACCTATCTCCATGTCCCACAACCCAATCTTTTATACCACTATCCAAGTGGTTCTACTGAAACTTTTCTGTAGTCCCGCTTTAAAAAAACTCTGATATGGCACACAAACTTTTCTACGATCAAACCCGTCTGCCTCTAAAACTTTAAGGATATTATGATGGTTTTCAATTGCCTCAAAATGCCTGCCCTGCTCATGGTAGTCATTCAAAAAATGGTTACTTAATACATCATTACATCCACTGGCTATTTACACATACATTTAGGATAAACATCTATCTATCTGCAAGGACAGCAGTGAGGGTTCTAAGAGCAGGCTTAATATAAATTAACCATACCTCCCAATTACTAAGATTAGCATAAAAAGAATGCTTTTATAAAATAACAAAAGATTTACCATCCTCTTCTTCTTCGCTAACATAATCTGGTCTATTCTTATAGCAGAAGAAAGTTGGAGGAAGTTTAAGTTTGCTTGCAAGAGCTCTGTGCTCCGGAGTTGGGGTTAGCTCATATACAATAAGAACATCCTCATCTGAGGGAGGGTCTTCAGGCTTTATCTTCTCTTTTGCTATAACACAAGTCAAAAAAATTGATAAAGATAGGTGTTAAATCAGTATTAACATCAATATTCTAACTGAAAATAAAAACCATGGAACTTATCTGTAGGTTAAAATAGCATACTAGTAAAAGCACATATACTTTGATGTGGACCGAACTCTAAAATAGTAATTACAATCAGTAGTAGACAAGGACATAGAATTTAATGTTCTATCAAAAACCCTTAGTGAGCACAAAATCTATTTAAAAAACAAAAAAATCACCCTGGCCAGTGTGGCTCAGTTGGCTGTATTGTCCCATGTACCAAGAGGTCATGGGTTCAATTCCGTCAGGGAACATACCTAGGTAGCAGGTTCAATCCCCAGTTGGGGTACAAACAGGAGGCAACCAATTGATGTTTCTCTCTCTCTCACCCTTTCTCTCTCTCTAAAATCCATAAAAACATATCCACAGGTGAGAATTAAAAAAATAAAATCCGGCTTTTACTTACTGATCATTGAAAAAAAGTTATTATTAATGGCTATAATTTAAAAAGTGCTGCCATAACCATATTTGACATACACAATAGTTGGCCAAAATACGCATGCATTTTCAACAACTGAAAAAAATTAAAGCAATCACAAGTAAAAACTAAGTGTAAATATAAAACTAGTGCAAGCCCTACTTTGATTAGTTGCCACAAGGAAAGTTAACAATTGCCAAGATGGCAGGTGATTAGAGTTACATCCAGTTTTGAATGTTTCCAAAAATGATAATAGATAAAATTAAATAAAAAGTTATCCTATAGGTAATACTAAATATTGTAAAAATTTAATATAATTACTATAGCTGAAAAACCAACAAGGACAACAACAAAAAAGGCAAAAATTAAAAAATGGAGAGAAAAGGAATTCTTCATACAATCTGCTCTGGTTTATAAAAAAGAATTTCTGCCCCTGGCCGGTGTCGCTCAGTGGTTGGAGCGTCAGCCCATGGACCAAAGGGTCACAGGTTTGATTCCCAGTCGAGGGTACATACCTGGGTTGCAGGTTTGATCCCACGCCCGGGTCGGGGTACGTGTCTGTGTGTCTGTCTGTCTCTCCCCCCGCCCCCCCCCCCACTCCGTTCTTCCTTTCCACTCTCTCTAAAAGTCAATGGAAAAAATGTCCTAGTGTAAGGATTAGCAAAACAAAAAAAAGAATTTCTGGGCAAAGGAACTGATAAATGGTAAACAACTTATGAAGCATGCTCTGTACCAGGGATCCTCAAACTACGGCCCGTGGGCCACATGCAAATACAAATATTGTATTTGTTCCCATTTTGTTTTTTTACTTCAAAATAAGATATGTGCAGTGTGCATAGGAATTTGTTCATAGTTTTTTTTTAAACTATAGTCCGGCCCTCCAACGGTCTGAGGAACAGTGAACTGGCCCCCCGTTTAAAAAGTTTGAGGACCCCTGTTCTGTAACAACTGGTACTGTCCAATATGGCAGCTGAGCCAGTGTGGCCATTAAGCAATTAAAATGTGTCCAAACTGAGATGTGCTACAAGTTTAAAATACACAGTGGATTTCATAGACTTGGCACCAAAAAAAAGAATATACCTCGTTTTGTTATATTGATTAGAATTTTAAATGTTACTTTGGATATAATGGGTTAAACTGAATAATTGTTAAAATTAATTTCATCTTTTCTCTTTGTTCACCTGTTTCTTTTTATTTTTAATATAGCTACTGGAAATTTTTATATTACACACATAGGCCATATTTATTTCTATGGGATGGCACTGATCTGGAGAACTAGAGCCCTTTAGCAACATTAAATTTGCCTTTCGCTCTCCTTCATTACAAAAATAGTAATTCCTAGCCAGGAATAGTAAAAAACACCTTAAGAACAGATTCTTTCTTTTTTTTTTTTTTTTTTTTTTTTAAATATATTTTATTGAGTTTTTACAGAGAGGAAAGGAGAGAGATAGGGAGTTAGAAACATCGATGAGAGAGAAACATCGACCAGCTGCCTCCTGCACACTCCCCACTGGGGATGTGCCCGCAACCCAGGTACATGCCCTTGACCGGAATCAAACCCGGGACCTTTCAGTCCGCAGGCCGACGCTCTATCCACTGAGCCAAACCGGTTTCGGCAAGAACAGATTCTTGTTCCAGTTCTGTTGTGAGCTAGTAAAGACAACTTGGGCATAATGAACAGCCCGCTGGGCCCTAGTTCCTCATGTTTTAGAGTCTTTGTCTCTAAGATCCTTTGGGACTCTGACACACTCAAATTTGAAACAGAATAACACTGTTTGTCCTGAAGTAGCATATTGGTAAATCTGGATGTAGGCCAGGGATTCTTAACGGAGGGCCCAGAGTCTGTTAAGTATATATCCTTTACAGAAAAAAGCCAGACTTTTCACATAATTTCTCAAAGACTGCACACTTTAAAATAAAGCTTAAGAGTTGCTTTAGCTAGTAATAAAATGGACATAACCTTGTAACTGAAGACCCCAAAAATCAAGGATTGTCATTTTATCAATGTACTTGTTTGGCAACCTATAACACAGTTGCTAAAGATATGTTATTAGACACTAATATGGAGTTTTCATTTCCCTAATTTGTGCCCTTGAAGGTCTTTAAGAGATTCCACTCTCTTTTATAAAAGATCTTTACTACATACATAACATACCAGGAATAACATAACAGGTGGATATTAAAAATGGGCACACTTTCAAATACAATTAATTTTCTGAAACATGTCCAAAAAGAATGGCCCTAAGGGGACCCACTGTGTCATGTTGTGTGCATGCTATTACCGTCACATGTTTGGATACAGGCTGACATTAGTGACTAAATAAAAGGGTTAGTAAAATATAGGTCTTTATTAAGCAAAATAAAAAATAAATAATAGAGTAATGAAGTATAAAGCAGCAAAAGGTAAAGACCTAATAGATCTCAAAATAATGTTATGCAATAGTGAGAAACATGACATCCAAGTACATTAAAAAACAGCATTAAATGGTATTATACCACCAGTCAAAAGTTACTTGCTTTTAAACTGACATTCTTTAACATGCACACTGTAGTGTTAAGTACTTAATTTCAAACAGCCACAGTTACTTTTCTAAAGTCTACCAGCTGCTATAAAACTGCTGTCATCTCATACTGAGAATGCTCACTCTATACCTTTGTTCTCAGGCTGTGAGGAAGGAGTGCTGGTCCAAAAGGCCATTGGATTAGATTTAAAAAGACTAAAATTAAATCCTAGAAAATAAAGAGTATTTAATTTTTGAACATAATGAGAATCAAAGTGAATATGATGTTAAAATATAAAAAGCCAGAGTCCCTCAATTTAAGCCAATTTGGCCATTTTACATATTCATTTATCCAAGAGGTTTGATCAAAGTGAATATGATGTTAAAATATAAAAAGCCAGAGTCCCTCAATTTAAGCCAATTTGGCCATTTTACATATTCTTTTAACCAAGAGGTTCATTCTTTGTTCATTTAATAGAGTGGCAAGACTAACTTACATAAAATGTGAGCATCTCAGTACCATGTTTTTTTGTTTTTCCTCTTGAGTGACAAGAAAATAACAATAACTTAAAGAATGAATACTTAAGAAAAAAGAAAGAAAACAGACTCAAGTTAATGTTCATGACTCAAGTACAAGTGACTAAAGTTCTATACTGCATTGGGTTCATGTGCTCTGCCCTAAGTATGATATAAATATCTTCCAGTTATTCAAATCTCCAAACTTACACACATACTCTCTGTTACTGTTTGAATACTCACAGGTAAAATAATTTTGGGAGAAAAAATTTTGCACAAATGTGATTTAGCTGTGTCACAAAGCACTGTGTTTATGACCCAATTTATTAAAACATTAGTATCCTAAAAAGAGTCTGCATCAAGGTAAACATTAAAAAGAAAAATTCAAAATAAAAATTTGCTTAATCTATTAAGACTAAGTGCTTACCCTTTTCTGGTGTCTTAAATGTGTAATTAGTTGAGAACTCTTCCTTTGGAAAAGCAGCAAAGAGATTTTGTACTTTGCCAGCTGGAGACTGCTTAATATCAGAGTTCTTTGACTCTTCACAATTATTAGGTTCCACTTCTCTTTCAGATCCACTCTGAACTCCTGAACTAGTTTCACTGTTTTTTAAAGGTGCATTAAAACTAAATCCAAACAAAGACCCAGTAGCTGAACTGTTGCCAAATGTAAATGGTTTTGATTTTTCACTACCAAAAATGCTTTTAACAGATTCTGAACCAAATACAAACTTTGGAGGAGAAACTACTGCTTTAGTTGCTGTTTCAGATGTGCTAGACACATCTCCAACTTCTGAGGTTGCATCTGCTATATCGTCGCCCTGAAGTAAATCTGTCCTCTCTTTTGTGGTTTCTTCTAATACAGCTACAGCAATTCTGCCACATGGTGACTCTCTGGGAGTTGTCGAAAAAGAAACATGAGGTGTTATCAAAGAATCTTTTTCTTGGGCTATTTTTGCTTCATCAAATATTTTCTTAAATGAGTCTGCAACATCCTGTAGTTTAAATCGGACAGCTAAATGTTCTACTTTTCGTTCTCCATCTGCAAAATCACATGCAGTCCACACCCACACTCTTTCTGTCCCTTTCATATTTTGCAAAGTCATATCTGGAGTTATTCTGTGATTGGCACAAAGTTTTAACACTTGGTCCCTTCTCATCACTATGCGAACTTGCTTATTATCATAATTCTGTAAAATCTTTATATCACCAATGCCTCTTTCTTTCCACTGACCAACATCTTTATCATATCTATAGAGTTTTGCTCTGTGACTAAAAACAACTTGTTCATTTTCCTCACCACTAGATACTTCAACTAGATCAGGCAAAGGTACAACAGGTTCAAAGTACTGTCCATCTCTCTCCTCTTCTTGAGTAACATCAGATTCTTCATCGCCAACTGTGGTCCCACTTTGATTCAACAAGGCAGGAGACTTAGATGGGCTCAAAGCAGATTTAAAACTAAAGTTAAATCCTGTTGTTGACTCACCAAAACGGAAGAGATTTTTTCTCACAGGGCTACTTGCCAGTGGAGAAGCATGTACTGAGCTACTACTTACACTATCATCCAAAGCATCTTCCCTTAAATCATAGTTACTCCACTCTACTGTGGGTCCAGTGTTTTCAGGATTTGGCTTTGTGGTTATGTCTGAAACACTGACAGCACCTGCATCTGAATTCTTACTTTCTTCCTCAGTGACTTTTGTTTGATCATTTGTCAAAACTGTTTTGAAATCTTTCAGCCCACTCTTCATTTCTTCAGCTCTCTGTATTAATTTGGCAGCTCTCCCAGTATCCACCAACTTATGGGGAGTTTGAAGTGGTATATCTAATAAAAGTCGCTGGCATTCCTCAAATTTCTGCTTGAATTCTTCAGCAAGCTCTGGTGTTTTAAATTTTGCCGCCAGCTGCTCTAGTTTGGCATCACCATCAGAAAAATCACTAGCTAACCACATCCATGCTCTATCTGATCCAGATAAAGGCTTCAGGTTCATTGTAGTCGTTATCCAATGATTAGCACACACTTTTAGTACTTGCTCTCTTCGCATTAACATTCTTAGTTTGCCATTGACTTCATTTTTGAGAATTTTTAAGTTCCCCAAGCCCCTTTCTTTCCACTGACTTATCTCAGCATCAAATCTAAATAACTTTACCCGCTGTGAATAAAGAACTTTTTCGTCTTCTTCTCCTGTTACAAGTTCTACTTTTTCGGGCATTTGTACTACTGGTTCAAAATGGATGTCATCACTGTCCTCAGTCTTATAGGCATCATCATCTTTCTCAAGGTCAGTAGAAGTGTCAGCTTTATCAGCCTTTTTACCACTTTGCAATGAGAATAATTTTTCTCCAGCACCTGAAAATCCCTTGAAATTAGGGTCTTTTTTGCCAAATTGAAATCCTTCTCCTGAAGTTGATTTTGCAAGATCTGCAAAGGTAAAAGTGCTTCCAGTTTGACCAAATATCACACCACTATCATTCTTCTGACTGCTAACACCCTGAGCCTGAAAATCATTGTCATTTTCAAGTGGTTTTTCACTCTTCTTCTCTTGATTTCCCAGTTCCTGAATGCCAAATTTAAATCCATCAGCAAGCACAGGAATAGAAAAATTAAATCCTTCTATTGTTGAATTAGAGTCTGTATTAGAACTCTGAAATGTAAATGAAGGTGTATTTTCTTGATCCATATGCCCAAATTTAAATCCTTGTTCTGTGATGCCAAATTTAAAAGCTTTTTCTGAAAAGTTACTTTTAAATCCTGTTCCCACCTGATTTCCAGAAGAGTCACTTAACTTAGCTTTTGAGCCCAATGTGAAAGCTGAAGGCGCTTCCGGGTTAGGTTTATGAGTTGGTTTAGAGGCATCACAAGCCACACATTTTAAGGAAGAACTCTCATTTTGCACAAAGCAAACACTACAATCCCACTGTCCTTCCTTCTTGGTGAATATTCCTTCAAATCCACTCTTTGTGGCCTTGCTTGTCTCTGAAGAGGCAGATGCTGAAACAGCAGGAGTAGGCTGATTTTGTGCACTTGGATTCTGACAAGCAACACATTTGGTAGTACTTGCTTCATTTCGCACAAAGCAAACACTACAATCCCACTGTCCTTCCTTCTTGGTGAACATTCCTTCAAATCCACTCTTTGTGACCTTGCTTGTCTCTGAAGAGGCAGTTGCTGAAACAGCAGTAGTAGGCTGATTTTGTGCACTTGGATTCTGACAAGCAACACATTTGGTAGCACTTGCTTCATTTCGCACAAAGCAAACACTACAATCCCACTGACCTTCCTTCTTGGTGAACACTCCTTCAAATCCACCCTTGGTGGCCTTGCTTGTCTCTGAAGTACTAAACTTAAAAGAGGCAGGTACTGGAACAGCTGAAGACACACTTGGTTTACCAGGATTATGACAGGCAGCACACTTTGCAGCATTTGCTTCATTTCGTACCAAGCATACACTGCAATCCCACTGTCCATCCTTTTTAGCAAACATGTCTTCAAATCCACTCTTTGGAGTTTTATTTATCTCTGAAGCACCAAACTTACAAGAAGCAGGGGCTGAAACAGTAGGTAAATTCTGTTTTCTTGAATTATCACAGGCAGCACATCTTGAAGAGCTTCCTTCATTTTGTACCAAACACACACTGCAATCCCACTGTCCTTCCTTTACAGAAAAAACAGATCTGAAATCATTGTTAACAGACTTAGGAAGATCTCCCTGGCCAAATTTAAAGGAAGGTTGCTGAACAAATAAAGAGCCACTTTTGTTAGCAGACTTTGTATTCTGGCATGCAATGCATCTAGATACGGTAGGTTCATTTCTCACTAAACAAATACTACAATCCCAGTGACCTTCATTCTTTGGAATCATCAACGCAAACCTATCTGGAGTATTTTCTGGGCTAGTTTGAAGAGTGGGAATAGTTTCAACTAATGCTGGGCCAAGGAGCTCTTTATTGCTTGGGTTTAGATTCTGGCATGAAACACATTTCTTAGCAGTTGCAGCATTTTTTAATGAACAGCTGTTACAATGCCACCAAGACCCTTCCTTCTTTGCTACCTGAAATTCAAAATTCATGTTTCTCGCATCAGATTTGCAAATATCCTTGTTACCATGACTTGCAGGTTCTTTTACGATTCTCATAGCCTTATTTGTTGTGGTTACCTTTGCTCCTGAGGCTTTTAAAATATTCTGGGCCTCTTCAAACTTACACTTAAAAAGTGCTGCTTCCTCAGGAGTTTTGAATCTAATAGCAAGTTGTTCTGGTTTGGGGAACTCATCTGCATAATCAAGAGCATGCCATACAAAAGATCTGTCTGATCCAGCATTTGGTGTCAATTTCATATCTGGACTGATGTAATGATTTGCACATATTTTCAATACTTGCTCTCGTCTCATTAGAAGGCGAATTTTACCAGATGTTTTATGTCTTAGTATCTTTACATTGCCAATTCCACGTTCCTTCCATTCTTTGGACTCTGCATCAAAACGGAACAATTTTGCACGATTGCAAAAGAATTCTTCTTCATCTTCCTCACCAGTCTTTACTTCAATCTTATCAGGAAGAGGAACCACAGGCTCAAAGTGAGGGCCATCATCATCGTCATCACCATGGGCACTCCCTCCATCTGCTTCATGATTCTTGTTGGCCACCTCTGGAGCAGGTGTTCCAAACACTGATTTCCCTGGACCATGGAAAGTAAATATATCATCACTTCGACAAAAACCAGAGTTCTTTTGATTTGGGCCTATGTTTTCAGTGAATGAAATTCCAGGTACATTTTTACTTCCAAAATTGAATGTATTTCGAGATCCAATAGTTTGACTAGCTTTTGCTCCACTGTAACCATCTCCTTGCAAAGGTTTTTCTGAAGTCAAAAGACCTAAAAGGCTTTCGCTATTACTGTAAGTCATAGAAGGGGGCTGTGTCACAACCTGCGGTGAGGAAAACGTGAAATCGCCATCATTTGATTTGAAGTTGGAGTTAAATTTAAAAGGAGGTGGCTGTGTTGTGTGTGCAGGTGCTGTCAAAGATGGCCTTATTCCTTCACCTGGCATGGGCTGAACAAAATTAGTTTTACCAAATTCTATAACCTTCGATTCTGCAGATCTTGAAGCATGAGCTGCAACTGGAGGTTTTGTGAAATAACCTGGTTCTGGCAAAGGTGGGTTTGTGCTTGTCTGTTGAATATTGTAATTAAAATAATCATCACCCCTAGGTGACAAAATTCCTGTGGCAGGAGACTCAAAACGCAGTGGAGGACCATACATCTCTTGAGAGAACATACAAGCAGATGTGCTTTGCACAGGTGGTGTGTGCATCTGTTGTGAATAGGCATAAATATGCTGTTGAGGTGGAAGCCTATTCATGCCATAAACTGGACCCTAAAAGAAAAAAAAAAGGTTAAATTTGTGTAAATTTGTACCTAAAAACTATAAGTAACTACTAGATACAAACCAATTTTAACAAACCACAAACATAAGTATTATAAGGTAAAGGTATCATTGGGTAATGTGGTGCATCATTAAGAGAAGATAGCATTACTACAAAGGTATTTACAATTATATTCCTTCTTGGCATATAATAAAAATTGTCTTAACTCATGACAGCATCTTAAAAACTTAATTCTCTAATACTTTCAACAATAAAGAATTTAAATTAAAAAAATTTAATTCTCCAACAATAAAAAAAATAAATGAATAGTATAAATATCTTCTTCTTTATTTATCAATGTGTCAAATGATGTTAACAATAATGATGATGATGATGATGGCCTTGGCTGGTGTGGTTCAGTTGGTTGAGCATTATCCCATGCACACGGAGAGGTCACTAGTTTGATTCCCAGTCAGGGGCACATGCCCATGTTGTGGGCTCAATTCCCAGTGGGGGACATGCAGGAGGCAGAAGATTGATGGTTTTCTCTCACTGATGTTTCTCTCTTTCTCTCTCTTTCTCTCTCTCTCTCCCCCCTTCCCCCTCTCTCTCTCTAAAATCCACACAAAATCGTATTTAAAAAATAACAATGACGAAGACTAGCAATTATCAAGCTGTTACTAATGTGCCAACTGAGCAATATTCTAAGTATTTTACATATATTAACTCATTTTAATATCCTCAAAAACCCTATGAATTAAGGCATTATTATCCTCATTTCACATATGAGGCAACTAATGTATAGAGAGGGTAAGAGACTTGCCCAAGGTCACAATAAGCAGAAAAGCCAGGGCCCTAGCACTCAAACCTTCTGTCTTTAAGCTTCACATTCAACTACTATTGTAATATTGGGTCTTAGCTACTACACACATGAACATGGTACTTTAGCAATAGGAGATTCTACTCCTATTTCTGCCAAAACAGAATGATGAAGAACCAACCACCACCACCCATTTAAACATATTCTAAACATTCACTTATTATTACACTAGGGGAATGGTGCATGAAATTCGTGCAGGGGGCAGGGGGAGGGGGTGTCCCTCAGCCTAGCCTGCACCCTCTCCAATCTGGGACCCGTTGGGGGATGTCCGACTACCGGCTGGGATCAGGCCTAAACCATCAGTCGGACATCCCTCTTGCAATCCAGGACCACTGGCTCCTAACCACTCACCTGCCTGCCTGACTGATCACCATTAATCACTCTGCCTGCCGACCTGCTCACCCCCAACTGCCCCCCGCAACTGCCCACACCCAACTGCCCACACCTGCTGGCCTAATAGCCTCTAAACGCCTCTGCCTCAGCCCCGCCACCATGGCTTTGTCCGGAAGGACATCCGGAAGGTCTCCCGGAAGGTATCCTGGTCTAATTAGCATATTACCCTTTTATTAGTATAGATAAAAATAAGATGACTAGGAAGTATAACTTCTGTATCTGGAGAGAAATTTAAAATATCTATATCTTGTGAGACTTAGAAGTTTTAATGTTGAACTACTTCTTGAATGTATTTGAAGTAAGCCTGAACAATTAAAAAGGAGATATTTATAAATGTGTAAATTATTTTGTTACCTTTGTGGGAGTAACATTAGCTGCTGGTCTGAGAAGATACTGGGAATTATATGCTGGTGACTGACTATAATATACTGAAGTGCCAGTAGTTGCAACTAAAAAAAATAAAAGAAAACACTGTTAAAAAAAATCTATACTACAGTTAAGACCATCTAGGCAAGAACTATAAATACAAAAGCAACAGAAATCAAAGAAAGATTTAAAACTACATCAAAGTGTTTTTAATTTCTATATCAAAATATACCATAAAGAAGATTATCAAATGATCAAATGACAAACTAGGAAAAACTGCTAAATATGACACATGAGAATTAAGAGCATGGTAGTAGTCAACAAGAATAAGCACCTCAAAATAAACATCAAAAAAGCAAGAAGGAAGTCGCTGGTCAACTTTCCAAGAAAAAGTGGTATGATGTGAGCACATAGCCATGTTCCAACAAAGAAATATTGAGAACACACTAGTCATAGGAAGGGTTTAAGGCAGCGGTCGCCAACTGGTGGTCTGTGAAGTCCGAAAGGTTGGCAACCACTGGTTTAAGGAACCAAAATGTACCTGATGGCCCCAGGACCATTTTTTGAAGTGAGCCTAGAAAATCTGCACAAGACAAGGTTGCATTTTCTAAACTCAAGCTTAGAATGTCCAGGTCAAAAATCACCTGATAATCCATGAAAAAGGATCTCATAAATAACACAAAATGTTTCTTGGGGTGCAGGTGGGGAGGACACATCATGACTGACACTCATTCCAATGTCCAAACTATTTCCTCCATCTGATCTGTTTTATGTGAGTTTTATCAGGAAATCAACAACTAGAAGACACTCATACTGATGGCAAAACTACCAACAGTCATTTGCTTGATCTGTTTAATAAAAGTTTTACCAGAAAACAATACAACTTAAAGATTACTTAGGCCTTTACATGAAAGAAGAAATAGAAATTGTGACTCAAGAGATGCTAAACTATTAATTCTGACAAGCACTGAAAAAGACCTAAAAAAAAGCTAGCCAGACTAAAAAATTGCAGAGAAGCCCAAGACTGATTTTGGAAAACAAATGGAACTGCCTGGTGAACATGATTATTTTGAAATATCCTGGGGAGAAAATAGGCATAGAACAAGCTGATGGACATGAGCCAAGAATAATAAAGTATGAAATTTAGTGACCTTATCAATGACTAGTGACTGTTTAGTAAAAAAACAAAAAAAAAAAAAACCAGCACCACACACATACACATACAGCAACCAACTATTAAAGAGTTCTTATAAACCTATTACAAAAAGCACGAAGTGAAAAGGTAACTCAGGAAATATAAAAGATTATAAAGTGTTCAGCATGCCTAGTGACAGTATTTTTGTTCTTAAAAATTGGCTAAGGTTTTTATAATCTGATAATAGATAACACTAGGTAAGAATACAAAGAGAAGGGCATTAGTAGATGTCAGTGATAAGAGTGTAAACATGCATAGCTTTTCTGTAAGGCAATTTCCAAACACAGAAGCATTTTTAAAAGATGCTACAATCCTGGAAATGTGCCCACAGTATTACTTATAATAGCAAAAAGTAGAAATAACAAAAATAAGGGAATAAAATTTGCAGTACTTCTACATGATGGTATAGTACATTCATTAATGTATTTTCAAAAAATACTTAATAGCCACGTGCTCAGAACTTAAAGTAATATTTAAAAAACAGGCTAACTTATCTACATACATCATAACATAGTAAAGGTCTCATTAAAAATTCTTTATGTTTACAAAGAGAAAAGAGCAGAAGGAAATGCTCCAAGATGTTAATAGAAATCTTTGTGATATTGTTAGCTTTTCATTTTCTTTACATTGTTCAATACATCTTAATATTTCCTGTAAGTTTATTAATCATTTTTTAAATCATCTTACTTTCAAAAGACAAGATACATCTTGGTATATTTTTACTTTCATTAAGAAAAACAAATCTGTAAACACAGGAATGGGAATCAAGAGATTTGAGCTCTGCTTTCGGGCCACAAAGCTGTTTTATGACCTTGTCAATTAGCCATTTGGGATCTCCCATTTTCTCACACATTTTATAGGGTAATTGCAAGAATAAATTGAGACAATTTGAATGTTATATTTACATTTGTTTAACAACCTTTTATGCCTGTACAAAAGAAATGGAAATTGTGATCCAACAGATGCCAAATAATCAATTCAGACAGCACTCAAAAAGCCTTAGAAAAGGCTAGACAGTTTACTTATTCTCTCTGCACAAGACTCTATATAGTGCACAGGGTTTTTAAGTAAGCAATGTTGAACTCTTGACATCTCATATATTTGTCTATGTAGAAGTGTACTGTTTATTTTACCTGCATTTAGAAGACACTGTCACAAGAGGATAGTGGGACAACCTTAAGTATTGCCCCAAAAGACTATCATACACATGTACTAATATAAACTAGATTAAAGCATTCCAAATCTTTCCTGGGTTAAAACCAATTAAAAAAAATGTATACGTACTACTACCATTTCAGGAATCTGTCTCATGTAAAAGCAATCTATTTTTGACATCATTTCTGGGTACCTGAGTGCAATGTAGCATACTGGCAAATGGCTTTAACGTTAGACCACTAGAGTTTAAACCCCAACTCTTTACTAATAATTACCTTCTACAATAATGGATGAGTTACTTAACTTTTCTAAACCCATTTCCTCATCTATAAAATTAGGATTAGTAATAGTACTTACCACTCTGGGTTACTGTGATTAGCACTTCTGCACAGAGACAACCCACAAAAGATACTATTAATACCCTTTTGTTCATTAGTGTTTACTGTAAGTAAGCACCTAATACATACCCATACTTACACAAATGCTCACAATTACCATGTGAGTCAGGTATTATTATCTCCATGCTTTAAATAGACAAACTGGCTCTGAAAGGTCAGTAAGTGATACAACACAACTTCAAAATCTAATATGGTCTAACCTCAAACTCCTTCCTTTTATGTATGACCATGGTATTTTAAAACAAGATTTCCTATTAATGTCATACCTCTGGTTATCTCATCAAAATAATTCCTGAGTTTTTAATTAGGCATATCTTAATGCATAATGATATCAATTAACATTTTTCAATTATAAGGAATACCTCTACCTCAATCTCAGCTCCTCTGACATGGGCATTAAAGGAATATTCTTTAAGCCTTTATATACACAGTATCAGATAAAGCTTATTTTGTTTCTGATTGGAGTTTTAAATATCTCAGTAAAACCAAAGACAGCTTAAGTAACATATAAGCAGACAGATACACATATATGTAAACAAATATATGTACATAAGGTGGTTTCACAAGTGATCTATTTAAAGGAGAAGACACAGTGATTTACGAACATATCCAGATACCAACTCACCTGTTAATGGAGCCCCATGAAAAGTCTGTGACCCCTGATATCCATCAGGCACTGAATCTGGTCCATAACATTCTGTAGGCCAACGATGAGGGGACCCCAAGTTACTGCTATTTAGTTTCAATTCCTGCATTTCTTTCTGTTGGAAGAAGAAAGGAACAAAATTTTAAGCAATTCTATAATGCCAGAAACAGTGACGGAGCAAACAAATATTTTAAATAGCTGATGATGCCCTTTAAGAGACTCTACAGTCCAATAAGACAGCGGTTCTCAACCTGTGGGTCGTGACCCCTTTGGGGGTCGAACGACCCTTTCACAGGGGCCGCCAAAGACCATCGGAAAACACATATATAATTACATATTGTTTTTGTGATTAATCACTATGCTTTAATTATGTTCAACTTGTAACAATGAAAATACGTCGTGCATATCAGATATTTACATTACTATTTATAACAGTAGCAAAATTACAGTTATGAAGTAGCAATGAAAATAATTTTATGGTTGGGGGTCACCACAACATGAGAAACTATATTAAAGGGTCACGGCATTAGGAAGGTTGAGAACCACTGCAATAAGAGCTGATTACCAGATTCTTAATTCTGATAATTAAGAACATGATCCTTAATGTGTTAACAATTCATTTGCTCCCATTCTTTCATTCCTTAGTACCATTACCTAATTCACTCACTCTAGAATAGAGTTAGCTCTAGCCTAAACAACTAACGTCGTAAATGGCCTCATCTCCATTTCCATTCTACACTTGCCTAAATTAATCGTTCTAAAGTTCAGCTCTAGCCAAGTAGCTACAAATTAAGTTTCTATCTCTGACATTCATGTCCTCAGCAGTATTATCCCAAATATCCTTCCAGCATATCTTCTTTCCATACTGCTTTACCCTTCGGTTCATGTGGACTACTTCAGCATTCTAAATTACCTCCCAATACCAGCTTTCCAATTATACACATTTGATGTAACAAAACACTACTTATCCTTCAAAGTGATGCTCAAATGCTCCACTAGAAAAGGAAAAACTAATATTTACTCAGAATACACAGGGTGAGGCAAAAATACATTTACAGTTGTGTGCATGGAAAATAATACAATAATTAATAAATAATAATACAAGAATCAACTGTTTTGCATACTCACAACTGTAAATCTACTTTTGCCCAACCCTATATTATGTATATAACTAGAGGCCCGGCGCACAAAATTCGTTCACTGGGGTGGGGGGATGGGGAGGCGGGGGGCGGGTGTGTCCCTAAGCCTGGCCTGTGCCCTCTCACAGTCCGGGAGCCCTTGGGAGATGTCTGACTGACAGCTAAGCCATCAGTCAGGCATCCTTAGCGCTGCCACAGAGGAGGCAGGAGAGGCTCCCACCGCCACCACTGTGATCACCAGCCATGAGCCCAGCTTCTGGCTAGGAAGTGCTCCCCTGTGGGAGCTCACTGACTACGGGAGGGGGGGGGGGGGGGGGCGCGCTCCTGCATTGAGCATCTGCCCCCTGGTGGTCAGTGCACATCATAGTGACTGGTTGTTCCGCCATTTGGTCGATTTGCATATTAGCCTTTTATTATATAGGATAATATATTATAAACACTTTACCTAAGTATTTAATCCTTACACAGTTAGATAATATTAGTAACTTACATCTTAAAATGAGAAAGAAAGATATAGGAAATAACACAGCTAGAATTGAAAACAGATCTTACTCCAAAAATATTTTCATAACACCACTTTGCTGCCTAGACAAAAAGGCAGATGTATGGCCTTCTAATGGTATCCATGTGGCTATCAGACCTCTTGCCATTTTACAGACAACTAAAGGACAACACCTGCCCTAACTGGTTTGCTCAGTGGATAGAGCGTCGGCCTGCGGATTCAAGGGTCCCAGGTTCGATTCCGGTCAAGGGCATGTACCCTGGTTGCGGGCACATCCCCAGTGGGGAGTGTGCAGGAGGCAGCTGATCGATGTTTCTCTCTCATCGATGTTTCTAGCTCTCTATCCCTCCCTCTCCCTTCCTCTCTGTAAAAAATTAATAAAATATATTTTAAAAAAAATTTTAAAGGACAACACCTTCCCCAACCCTAGAACCTATAAAATGTCCCTTACAAAACAGGAATTTAACAAGAAACTACTTTAACATGTTCAGCACCAAGCCTGTTTTGTCTTCCTTTCCGCTTAGCCCACGATATCCAATTTCACCGATATGCTGGCGGCACCAGTGACTGACCAGTCCGGAAGGAAAATATAGTGTCAGTCTCCGGTGACTGACATGGCACTTAACGTGTTAAAAAAGCAAAACAACCATCATGTTAGCATACAAGTTCACGTTAGAAAAAAATATCAAGTTTCGTTGTGTGGGCCCAGGTATCTGATCAGTTATAATAAGTGAAGTCAGAGACAGAGTGAGCATGTCTATTACCTTCTTCTAGAGGTATTTTCAAATACAAATTTCCCAAAAGCCTAACAACTGGGGTCAAAAATCTCTCAAATTTTCCAGCTAAATAAATTCCCCCGCTCATCCATCTATTGACTAGTCTAGATGCTGTACATTCATAAATAAGAAACTGGTGGCATCAACAACAAAAATGTACTGGTCACTGCCAATATATTATAAGTGAAGAGTGTATGTAATATAATAGGACACAAATATACAAAATTGACATAAAAATATGTATGCAAATTCAATAGTTTATTCCCTTCCCAACAGCATTTTTAATGCTCACACACTACTGTGATAGTTAAGGTCACTTTCATAGAGATCAAATAAGATCATATACATATAACTATTTCCTTAAATAATTAAGTTGAATTGATATGAAAATATTAAAAAGATAAAAGAGACTTTCTGAAGTTCAGAGCACTTATCAATTCCCAGATATAAATTTTTTTTTAAATATATTTTTATTGATGTCAGAGAGGAAGGGAGAGGGAGAGAGAGATAGAAACATCAATGATGAGAGAGAATCACTGATCGAATGCCTCCTGCAAGCCCTATACTGGGGAAGGACCATGCAACCCGGGAATCAAACCTGGGACCTTTCAGTCCACAGGCTGATGCTCTATCCACTGAGCCAAACCAGCTAGGGCCCCAGCTATAAATTTGACACACACACACTAGAGTTAAGACTGAGAAATGAATTCATAGACCAAGGTATTTTCCCTAGATCAATTAAATCACTTGGTGACCTCCTCTATGCCAGAAACAATGCTATGTATTGAATAAAAGAGGATGTACCTTTGAAAAATTCACATCTGGTGGAGGATGCAAACATAGATAATTTCAAAAATATGGTGTTAATATGGAGGTATATAAAACACAGTATGATTCTATAGTAACAAGCAAAGGCACATTTTGAACACCTTCAGAAAGAAGTGAGGGAATAAAGAAGGAACCTTGGAATAAAGAAGGCACAGGATAGACAAATTAAGTGATTTACCTTAATGGCCTCTACTTCTTGGCAGATCATTTTCAGTAAAGAATTTTGATCTTCTGCCCACTGAGGTGGTGCTTTGGGAGAATACTAAAAATAATAACAATAAAATAGTATTTAGAACAGAAACATATTCCACAATGGAATAATTCACTTCTTTCCCACTTACCTTGTAACTTTTACTTGGTGACAGAGAATATTTGGTAGGAGATGGTGTGGAATATTTCATTTCCGAATCTGTATTACGCAAAGAACCATTTTTATAAAGAGGACCTCCTTCACTATAGTCATCGAGTTGCTGCTTGACTGAATTAAGCATATCTTTTACAGACTCCAGGGGCACAGGCAACTAAAAATAAAAAACGTAAATCAAATTGTCTTAGTTTGCAAAAATATCAAAGTAAAAATTCTTAAATAAATGCAGTATTTTATTTTACTAATTTACTTACTTTTCTCACTTTTGTTTAGCAAGCACTTTATACTTTAATAACAGACATGAAACTGCTATGTAACCTAAAATCTGACTCTAAAATCTATGTTGTTTCTACTTTTTTTTTTTTAATTTTTATTTTTTCAGAGAGGTAGAGGGAGAGACAGAAGCATCAATGATGAAAGAGAATCACTGATTGGCTGCCTCCTGCACATCCCTATTGGGGATCGAGGCTGCAACCTGGTCATGTGCCCTGACCGGGAATTGAACCATGACTTTCTTCTTCATAGGTTGATGTTCAATCACTGAGCCATCCTGACCATGCTGTTTCTACTCTTTCTGTTAGTCATAATAATGGCAGAATGTTAAATTGGGAAATTTTTAAAAAATATCTTTTATTAATTTCAGAGAGGAAAGAAGAGGGAAAGAGAGACAAAGACATCAATGATGGGAGAAACCAAGATGGCGGCATAGGTAAACACTTAAAATTGCTGCCTTGCACAACCACTTCAAAAATACAACTAAAAGACAAAACAGACATCATCCAGGACCACAGGAAGGCTGGCTGAGTGGAAATTCTACAACTAGAAGGAAAGAGAAAAGCACACTGAGACTCAGAGGAGGCTTGAAAGTAAAGTGCAGAGGTACGCAGGCGCATGCGGAAAGGGCTGGCAAATGAGGATGCGGTTGTCTTTTTAATCAGGAGGGAGACACAAGCTCCCAACTGCTCTGAACTCCAGTTCCAGGCGAGTTTCTGGGGACGCAGACTCATACAGGGAGAAACTGGACTGTCTGGCAGTGGGCGTAACTCGAGGGCGGCTTTCTCTCAGAGGTGCTTGCAGAGATTACCATGGGACACTGAGAACCCGGGCCTCTTAGGGCAGGGCTGAGGATCAGCCATAGCTGTTTGCTCCGCCCTGTTGATTCCCTGAGACCCTGCCCCACCCAAGCTGTGAGCAGAGGCTTTTGCATATGAATGGCCTGGCCCTTTGCAATCTAAAATTACCTAACAAACTGCAGATGGGTCAGAGATCAAGAACATCCAAAAGAAGGCCCAAGCCTCCACAGAAGCTTGCACTGCTTCACAGCTGGGCCTCATATGGGCACCTCGAAACCTCAAACAAGGAAGAGGAATCTGCAGATCTCTACATAGCTCCTGCTGGGTAGCCTCAGGCACAGGCTAAATTAGCACCTCCTTAGAGATCCAAGAGCCAGTGTACCCAGTGGTCAGAGTGGGACCATCCAGATTAAAACTCCTCAGATCCATAAGGGACACACTCAAGGGGCAGACTCAGTGAGCACCAAAGCCCCACTGAAGCAGTCTTGCCCCATAAGGGTGTCTCCAGCACAGAAGTTCTCCCACTGTAGACCAGCTGATTCTCACAGCCAATTGGCCTGGAGGTCAATTCCTCCCAGTGATACCTACAACAATCAAGGCTTAACTACAACAAGACTGTGCACACAGGCCACAAAGGGGTGCACCAAGAGTGTCCACCTCAGGTAGCTGGGGAGGCTGAGCCACTGGGCCCTACAGGACACCTAGCACAGAAAGCCACTCTATCAACACAGGGAAGTAGCCAAAATGCGGAGACAAAGAAACAGGTCACAAATGACAGAAATGGAGGAAAGCAAACTTCTGATTATAAAGTTCAAAACCACAGATATAAGGTTTTTCAAGAATTTTGTAGAAACCACCAATAAATTTAGTGAGACCCTCGATAAATCTAATGAGACCCTCGAGGATATGAAAAAGGACCAACTAGAAATTAAGCATACACTGACTGAAATAAAAATATACAGAAATCCAACAGCAGACTAGAGGATTGCAAGAATCAAGTCAAAGATTTGAAATACGAAGAAGCAAAAGACACCCAACCAGAAAAGCAAAAAGAAAAAAGAATCCAAAAATCTGAAGATAGTGTAAGGAGCCTCTGGGACAACTTCAAGCATACCAACATCCAAATTATGGGGTTGCCAGAAGAAGAGAGAGAGCAAGATATTGAAAATCTATTTGAATAAATATTGACAGAAAACTTCTCCTACACCTGGTGAAAGAAATAGACTTACAAGTCCAGGAAGCGCAGAGAACCCCAATCAAGACGAATCCAAAGAGGACCATACCAAGATACATCATAATTAAAATGGCAAGAGCAAAAGACAGAGAATCTTAAAAGCAGTAAGAGAAAAACAATTAGTTACCTACATAGGAGTACCTATATAATTGTCAGCTAATTTCTCAATAGAAACTATGCAGGCCAGAAGGGAATGGCAAGAAATATTCAAAGTGATGAATAGCCAGAACCTACAACAAAGATTATTCTACCCAGCAAAGCTATCATTCAGAATTGAAGGTCAGATAAAGAGCTTCACAGATGAGAAAAAGCTAAAGGAGTTCATCACTACCAAACCAGGATTATATTAAATGCTGAAAGTTATCCTTTAAGAAGAGGAAGAAGAAGAAAAAGGTAAAGATAAAAATTATGAAAAACAAATACATACCTATCAACAAGTGAATCTAAAAATCAAGTGAATAAAAAAATCTGATGAACAGAATAAACTGGTGAATATAATAGAATCAGGGGCATAGAAAGGGAGTGGACTGACAATTCTTGAGGGGAAAGGGGTGTGGGGGATGCAGGAAGAGACTGGATAAAATTGTACACCTACGGATGGGGGGGGGGGGGGAGTAATGGCAGAGGGTGGGGTGGGAACCAGGTGGAGGGGAGCCCTGGGGGAAAAAAAAGAGGAACAACTGTAATAATCTGAACAATAAAGATTTAATTAAAAAGAAAATCAATGATGAAAATCATTGATCGGCTGCCTCCTGCACACCTCCCAATGGGGATTGAGCCTGAAACCCAGGTATGTGCCCTTGATCAGCAATCGAACCCAAGACCCTCAGTCCAGAGACTGATGCTCTATCCACTGAGCGAAACCAGCCAGGGCTGGGAAATTTTTCAATGAGAGCAAAATATGTTTACTAATTGATTTTGAATGGGAAGAAAAATATAGATACAAGAATGCACCAGACAACATAAATCTTAATCTGAGAACAGCAACACAAATTAATCAATGAAATATTTGTAAAGTTGAATATAACTGACATTAACACCATCATGACAATCTCAAACTGCTGAAAGTTGGAAAAAAGATGAAGATGAGAAGAAATGCTCTGAAGTTGTCAGCTTTCCACTTTTGATTTTAGCAAAAATTTCTTAATTGTCCAATCCTTAAGAATTAGTCTTAGATAGCAATACATTCTTAAAAAAAAAAAGTCTTGTCTTAGAAAACTTTTCTAATTCCCCAACAAGTATTTTGGAACAGTATAAACCTAGACTCTCAATTTTAAAAAAGAAACTCCAAACCTGACAAAGCAATGCTATTCAAATATTTAAACACATACCCCCCTTCTGTGCATTATGAGTTATTACTGAGCATTTTTGAAATGGCCAAATTATAACACCAAAGCAAAAATACTTATCAACCAATTGTCAATAATAAGAAAGAACAAAAAACCTGCAACTTACTTTCTTAACTACTGAAAGATTTGAATCACTGTCATCTAAAATCTTCATTAGGTAGTCCCGGGTCTTTCTCAGATAATTTTTGCATTCTTCTTGTTCTTCAGGAGAATGGGCATCATTTTCAATGTCTTCTGCTTTTCTGTGAAAAATCTATACAAAGAATGCTTTTATGAAACAATTGGGTTTTACTATTTGTTGTTTTTTTAAATATGGGACACTTCACAAATGTGCATGTCACCTTTGCAGTGGGCCGTGCTAATCTTTTCTGTATCATTTCAATTTTAATGTATGTGCTGCCAAAGCAAGTACCAATTAGGTTTTTAAAACAAAAACTTTTAATTCATGTACTTCTACTTACCAATGCAAGATTCCAATAAGAAACAACATTTTTTATAGATTCAAAAGCAGTCATAGCATCTTCTATATTTCCATTAACTGCATCCAATATAGCAAATGTTATGTGTGCTTCTTCTTCATATTCACCAATTTCAGATGCCTAGAGACATTTAGTAATTTTTAGTCACATTGCCTCAACCCAGAATATCAAACCCAAATGATTTCCCAAAGATTTTGTATGTTCTAGTGAGATTAATAACTCAGTATTCTTTTGTGCCACATTTTATTTGTAACAACTAGTGCATTTAGAAAGCAAGACTACCATTAAATAGTCAGACAATTAATTTAAGCAGTTTATGCCTCCATTTATTTGTTTACATACTGGAAATCTACATCCCCTGTTAATTAACCAAGGGACCCTCCATTACCTGGATGTCTGCACTATGAAAGTGTTTAAACAGAGGGTCTGTAGGTTCAGGAATACTAATCTTCTTTTTGATCATCTTCAATAATGGCAAAACCTTCTTCCAATAATGAACACTTCTGCCTATGTATTCCCGCTGATCATAAAAAGAATTAAGATCGCTGCCCTAAAATAAAATAGAAAGTTAGGAGCACACAACCTAAGGAATACAAATGATCAGACCTAAAAATGCATTTATAAATGACTGAGAAACTGGTTAAATTTCAAATCAAAGCAAAATAGAATCTCAAGTCATATCCTCAATTCTCCAATAGGAGAATAACTACCTACCTAATACCAGTGGTCATTCCAGAATCAATTGTTAAACACTTCCCTTTTTTTCTTTTAATATATATTTTTTAATTGATTTCAGAGAAGAAGGGAAAGATAAAGATAGAAACATCAATGACGAGAGAGAATCACTGATCAGCTGCCTCCTTCAGGCCTCCCACCTGGGAGATCAAGCACGCAAGCCAGGCATTGCCTTTACTGGGAATACAACCGTGACCTCTTGGTTCATAGGTTGACACTCAACCATTAAGCCACAACTGCCTGACTAGCCTCAACTGCATGGCTAGTCTCAACTATTAAACATTTCCAATGACACTAGCCTAACGAGGCAGCCCAATCCATTTTTTAAAATTGCCACTTTTGCCCTAATAGGTTTGGCTCAGTGGATAAAGCGTCAGCCTAGGGACTAAAAGGTCCCAGGTTTGATTCTGGTCAAGGGCACGTACCTTGGTTGCAGGCACATCCCCAGTAGGAGGTGTGCAGGAGGCAGCTGATTGATGTTTCTCTCTCATCAGTGTTTCTTTTTTTTTTTTTTTTTTTTTTAAATATATTTTATTGATTTTTTACAGAGAGAAAGGGAGAGAGATAGAGAGTTAGAAACATCGATGGGAGAGAAACATCGATCAGCTGCCTCCTGCACATCTCCCACTGGGAATGTGCCCGCAACCCAGGTACATGCCCTTGACCGGAATCGAACCCGGGACCTCTCAGTCCGCAGGCCGACGCTCTATCCACTGAGCCAAACCGGTTTCGGCACATCAGTGTTTCTAACTCTCTTTCCCTCTCCCATCCTCTCTGTAAAATATCAATAAAATATATTTTAAAAAATAAAAAATAGAAAAATAAAATTGCCACTTTTGGATAGCCAAAATCTGCTACTTTGTGTGACAGTTTAGTCAAAGGGCTAAACATCACAGAACAGACCAAAACTATTTACAAAGATCTATAAATGCCCTTTCCTACAAAGCCATGTGCTACTGAATGTAAAAAAATTTCCGGCTGGACAAATTATAACTTAATTATTAAGTAGTCATAACAACAGATAATACTTATGTAACATTATGTCAGACCACCATTCAAAGTGCTTATATATTAACTATATTAACAACTATGTAACAAGATTAAAAAAATAAATTTCTCCTAACATATCTGTTTTAGAACTGAATGACTTTCAACAAAAAGTTTATGACTTAAAAAAAATAAGATGTTTTAAAAAATATTTATATTTTAATAAACTCACCGTTTTCTGAAGGTATGTGGCCCAATGTATAAGGAGAGCAGGTTGAAGGCCATGTTTTTCCTGGCCCCTTAGAGCATTTATATCGCGCTGAACTAGAAGTCGCAACTTTGCTGAGGTTCCAGGGCTAAAAAAATATTTTTATTTAATAAAGTTGATTTATAAACATGCATTTCAACACATGTGTTTGTTAATCATCACACTACATTAAATTAAATACCTAGGGAATAAGTTTTTAAATTAAATGGGTCTTTAAATAATAAACCCATGCAGTAAGTTAAAGGAATGTTTTTGTTTTACTACTTACATTGCTTTTCTGTGAATTAGATTACAAACTGCATCCCACCAAGATTTTTGTCTCTCTGTATAAAGTTGTTTACACACAGGAAATGGCAAGCATAGTGGCTGATAGAAGTTGTAGTGAGAACTACATTTTTCCTTTAATTGTAACTGGCTGTTATATATTACCCCAAGTAGAAATACCTGTTTTATTTAAAGAAAAACAATTTAGGTTAGAAAAAAATTTTTTAAAGCTCAAAATATTTACTTTGCTAAAATCTTTGCTTACTTCAAGATCTAAAATACATATTGACTCGGGTGCATTTGTTTCAAGTCTTGAGGTTTCCTGAGGCAAATGATGAAAAAGCTGTTTCAGCCATTTTCGAATTGCAGGTAAGGTAGGCAACAAATTCCACTGTAAACCAAGCCAGGTAAGGTGCTGAAGGCTACCATTATGTGCTCGGATGGCACCTGAAATAAAGGGGGGAGAGGGGGGAAAATGGCTTTGAAAACTTCTTATATGACATCAGTTTTGCCAACAACTGACTCATATTAAACATATCTTAATTTTCTCTATCAGAGCTGGGAAAAGTCTATGACAAGCAAAGTCTTATGTTCTTTTTGTTTTTGTTAACCATTATCTAAGGATATTTTCCCATTGATTTTTAGGGAGAGTGAGAGAAAGAGGGAAAGGCAGAGAGAAACATCAATGTGAGAGAAACACACCGATTGGTTGCCTCCTGACCGAGCCCTGACCAGGGCCCGGGCCAGGGAAGAGCCCTGCAACCAAGGTACGTGCCTTTGACTGGAATCCCACCCGGGACCCTTTGGCCCGCAGGCCAACACTCTATCCACTGAGCCAAACCAGCCAGGGCTTTTTCTTTTTTTCTTTTAATACATTTTGTACCGCTCAGGAGTTTTCTCGTGTTTCTCGCGCCATCTGTTAAGGACCGCTCATGAGTGTTCTCGTTTTTCACACCCATGGAAAAAGGAGCGAATCTAGATACTTATGTAAATTTTGTTTGGTCCCTCTTCATAGAGGAAAATGTTTTACGCAGTACCCTACGTTAAAAAAGTACTAGGAACTTTGTTTTTGTAAATAAAAATGTTATAATTATTGAAAAACAACACCTAAAGTGCATTATGATGATTTAAATAACATGCAGTTTGCCCAAAAACGTGCGGTCCCTGGCATATGTCTTAGAGATTTCTATGCAGTACGCAATGTGTTTTAACATATTTTTTATTGATTTCAGAGGAAGAGAGTGGGGAGAGAGATAGAAACATCAATAATGAGAATCACTGATCAGCTGTCTCCTACACGCCCCCTACTGGGGATTTAGCCTGCAACCCGGGCATGTGCCCTGACCAGGAATCAAGCCATGACCTCCTGGTTCACAGGTCAACGCTCAACCACTGAACGCCAGCCAGGCTGGGCGTTAATGTTCTTATTAAAGGTATTCACACTTATGTCTAGGAATTTTAAAAAGTTAATAGAGACAGTTCTTTTCAAGTCCATCTGATGAAAAAAGAAAAAAAAGACTCACTAGAACTCAATAAAACAAAATCTGACAAGGGCCAAATAAATAGCTACCCACTAAGAAATCTTGAAACAATGGATTTGCCTTTCAGTAAAGAGTCATTAAAACAATGTGCTACCACAACATTAATCCATTAGGACAGTGAAGAGAATTTTTCTCATAAAAGACATTCAGTACTGAAACAGTTATGAGCTTCTGGATGCATAGAGAGGTACAGCCTTTCTGGCAATTTGTAAGCGATTTAAACATGTTCATCAACTTTGTCCCAGTAATTATTTTTATGAATCTACTGAAAACTTTGAAATGGAAACATTTTATATTATTTTTCATCATAGTAGTATTGATTTTTTTAATTGATTTTAGAAAGAAGAAGGAAGGGAGGGAGAAGGTAAAGAGGGAGAGAAGAGAGAGAGAGAAATATCAGTCGACTGCCTCCTGCTTGTGCCCATAACAAGGGACTGAACCGGCAACCTGGGTATGTGCCTTGACACAATCAAACCCGCAACATTTTAGGGTACGGGACAACACTCCAACCAACTGAACGACGCCAGCCAGGGCCACAGTTTATTTTTAATAGTGAAAAAACTGGAAATGTCTTGAATACCCAACAATAAAAAGCAACAAGCAAATTATGATTAATTCATGAAACGGATAATATTGCCATTAACCATCATATTTACAAAGGTAGATATGATGGGAGAGAATTGCTGAAAGACAAATCATATGTAGAAGCATAAACAACTATTTAGGAGAAAGACATATGCCACCACAACCCACTACCAACCTCTTACACCTCCACCACCACTCCTCCCCCAAAAATAACACCTGAAAGGAATACAGGAAAATCTTAACTCATTATCTCTGGGTCAGTGGTCGCCAACCTTTCGGACCCCGCAGACCACCATTTGGCGACTACTGCTCCAAAGGTTTTCTTAAACCAGCAGTCAGCAGCCTTTTGGACCTCACGGACCACCAGTGGTCAGCGCACCACCGGTTAGCGACTGCTGCACTAGGTAAGATGATTATGGACAATTTATTTCCCTTTCTGCTTCTTTTTCTCCTAATATAAAAAAATTAAGACTCAAAATGTTTTCTTTAAAAGATACAACTTACCAACATCATATCTAGCCAAATCGTCAATTTTCGGTGCTTGCACATCAATGTTTCCAATATCATCACTACCAAGGAAAGAGCTGTCCTTAGGTGACTGACCAGAAAACAGAGCATCATACAATGCAGATTGACCACTTTTATTGGCAAAGGATTCTACAACTTCTTTTAAAAAATCTTGCTTGTCACGACTTAAGTTAAGCAGCATGTGCCCTGAAAAACAAATTATTTCCATCATCTAAAGTATACAGATTGTTTGTACTCATATCTCTCAATAGTTTTATTCATATTCACCAAGAGGAAATAACAATTATCTGAGACATAACCATCCAACCCAACAACCACATGTGGATAACAAAAAGGGTGCTTGTACAAAAAAATGAATACAGATTCCAGGATTAATAGTATCTGTGTCTACATGTTAGAGTAAAAGGAAAGAAAGACAAGAATGTGTGTCAAAAATACCAAAAATATTTACATTTCAAATGGAAAAGTGTAGGATTTAAAAGTGGCCATAGGAGAGCAGGGCCAAGCTCAAATTCTCTGATCTGATACACTCATTTCTAATATTGGCTGGTCAGAATTCTCCTTTAAAAGGCTTTTTATTTATTTCCAGGCCCCACTCTCAGAGATTCTGATTCCACAGGTTTGGGGTGAGTAATCTATTTCAAAAACACCCCTTGGATAAAGTTCCAATACATGCTACAACATGGATGAACGTTGAAATACTATTTTAAGTTTAAAAAACCTGACACAAAAGACCACATATTATATGATTAAATTTATATGAAATTTCCATATAGAAATGTCCATAAAGAGACCAAAAAGTTCATGGTTGGTTACCTAGGACTAGGGGGGAAATGGGGCATGACTGCTATGAGTATAAGGTTTCTTTGTGAGATGATGAAAATGTTCTTAAATTGTGGTAAAGTTTGCACAACTCTATAAACATACGAAAAAATAACTAAAATGTATACTTAAAATGGGCAAATTATGTAGTATGTTAATTTTATCTCAACTAAACTGTTTAAAAACAACAACAAAAAATACTCCTTGTAGTTAATTCTGCTCATCAGTCAGGTTTGGTTATCACCAAACTATTATTTCTCCAAAAGTTTGCAGAGACAAGCTCAGAAAATGTCCAGATCAAAGACAGTAAAACTGTGACACCCTGCAAAGGTACCTACGACAGCCCTGCAAAGGTAGAAGGGAGACATAAAAAAGATGGAAAGTCACTTCATTAAGAACTAAAAGTCTACCTCCCACTAAAAAAAAAGTAGGTTGTCAGCTAGAACAGCATTATAAACTTAGACCAACAGCTTAACTACAGACCAAAGCTTACAGAAACTTATTTAATACTACATCTTCCTCTTTACAAAGTTCATGTGATTTCTACCAAAGCTGCTTCCTACAGAAAGTCTTCAATTCACTGCTTGAGTCCCTGGCTACATGAATAACTTAATGATTTTGCCTTAGCAAAACCAGGTAACATATAATAAACATTTAGGATCTATCACAAATAGTCAAAACTGGGAATAAATCTACAAATTCCAAGAGCCTAATAGAAAGTGAATATAATCCTCTATCTTCCTTGCTATATTGTTAGTTCCTTAAGAGATAGATCTGTATCTTCTTCATCTTTAGCACCCATAGCAGTCTTGCAAGCAACTGATAAATGGCTGGCAAATCAGTAATTATTCTTAGTATAAAAACTATTTTATAAAATATTCAGATGGAGGCTCTAGCAGCTAGAATGAGGAGGGGTTAAGAAGTTTCTCCATCTGGTAACACACAATATCAAATAATTGTTCCTATTTCAGAATATAACACTTTTTAAAAAATTACTTATTTAATCCTCACCAAAGGATGTGTTGATTTTAGAGAAAGGGGAAAGGAGAGAGACACATCACTGTAACATAGAAACATTGATCAGTTGCTTTGCGTATGTGTCCTGATGGGATCAAACCCCCAACCTACATATGTACCCTGACCAGGAATCAAACCAGAAACCTTTCAGTGTATGGGATGACACTCAAAACAACTGAGCCACATTGGCAAGGGTAAATATACCATTTCTTCTAATTCTTTATCTCTTACCTTAGTGGTCAGCAAACTCATTAGTCAACAGAGCCAAATATCAACAGTACAACGACTGAAATTTCTTTTGAGAGCCAAATTTTTTAAACTTAAACTATATAGGTAGGTACATTGTTTTTAACTTAATTAGGGTACTCCTAAGCTGGCCTTTGCTAAAAACGTCCTCAACCTGATTGAGGTACGTTCGCTGAGGTCGACCCCTTCCAACTCTCCCATCCACACTTGTCGTGTATACTTGTTTCAGATAGATGAGTGTGGATGGAAGAGTTGGAAGGGGTCGACCTCAGCGACCGTACCTCAAAACAATGTAACTCCCCTGCGCTGTGTCTCCCGCCGCCCGCCCGACCGACCGACACCCCCCACTTCTTCTAATGCCACTTCTTCAAAAGAGACTCCGCCCAGGCCAAAAACCAACTTCTGCGCATGGGCCACGAAGTTTCAATCGCACTGTACGTGAGTACCCGCACATGGTATTTTGGGGAAGAGCCACACCCAAGGGGATAAAGAGTCGCATGTGGCTTGCGAGCCGTGGTTTGCCAACCACTGTCTTACCCTAATCCAGTATATGACAAAGAGAAACATGATTATAACAAATTCTCTCCCAAAAAGACAGATGATATTATCATAAGATGCATTTTAACAGAGAATTTTCCTTTTTTCTTTTCAAAATAAAACCAGTTAAACATCACTATTACCTGATTGGCTCAGACGATCAAAAGCCATGGTTTCCAGCAGATTTTGTCCACCTTCTCCTTTTATTAATTTAATCTTTGGTCTTGGAACCTGGTAATTTTATAATCAAAAAGTTTAATTTAGTGATACGCATATACTGAATAGTAAGATGGTCCTTTTTATTACATTATGTTTTTTTGATGATACGCAGTTAACCAACCAATAATTAGACTGGAACCTAGGAATTAAGATAATCTATAAAAGATGCCTGCAAAGAACATTCCTGAGAAATTCCCGCTAAAAGCACATTCAAATGGCATTTTTGGGAAATGGAGTGTTTAGAGAACTTTTCTACCTGCAGAAACAGAACCACCAAAACAGAGATTTGCTCAGCACTGGAACCATACTTGGAAATGCCATACTGAACAGAACATTTCTAAGAAAGTAGATAATTTGGGATACATTGGGATAAACTAGAATGACCAAGAGATTAAATGGATACCAAGCCCTATCCTAAAAGGAGAGCTGAGAATAAGGACATATTTGGAATACCTTAATCAATCAAGAAAAAAAAAAAAAGAGCTGAAAGAATGATGAAAAAATATTAAGAAAATTACCTTGTAAAAGAGTTAGACTTTTTAAGTATCATCAAGAGAAAAAACATCAATGGGTAGCAGCTTGAAAAACATTTTTACTCCATATAAGGAAACACCAAGAACCAAATTATCCAAAAATGCAAAGGGCTATCTTGAAATGTAGTGAATGTCCATCACTGAAAATGCTCAGTCATTGGCAATGATCACTTACTAGAAATATCCTACAAGTATAGCTGGGGTAACTGTGGTTAATTTCTAATGAGTTTCTTAATTAGCAGGAGTGTAATGGCACACACCTCTGTGATGCCAGGATTTTGGCAATGGAATTATTTGAAGTAGATTAATGAAAGTAACCTAATATCTTGGCTAAAGGGCACTGGTTTAAACCCCTACCCCTCCCCACAAAAAAACTATGGTATATCCATAGAATGGAGTAATATGCAACCATAAAAAAAAATGAGGATGTTATGCTTACTATATTGTACTGATATGGAAACACTACCAATAAAATATTTCATAAAGCAAAATAAATAGAATGTAAGGATGTTGGAATGCATAAGTGTGTGGATGCGGGCATGTGTGGGTGCTCATCTATGCATAAAAAAATTTCTTGAAGAACTCACTACAAATTAGTAACATTAGTTCCTTCAGGGAAGAGAAGTAAATGACTAAGGAACAAAGGTAGACGGAATTTTCAGCGTACACTCTTACACATAAGTTTTCTAAACATGATGCCAAACTTTATCTACAGCTGCTAAAAAGCACAAAACTCATAAAACTGGCCTCTTATACAAAATTATTCAATAGCTATCATTTGTGACCAGTTAATTAGTCATGAACCCACTCAGTCACATTAAACTCAAGTCAAAATCTCATCTTTTTTTTTTTTTTAACCCTCATCCAGGGATATTTTTCCACTGATTTTTAGACAGAGTGGAAGAGAGTGGGAAAGACAAAGAGAAGTATCTATGTATAAGAAACACATTTATTGGTTGCCTCCTGAACCTGCTCTGCAGCCCGGGGGGGGGGGGGGGGGGATGCCAGCGGGGGGTAAGCCTGCTCCTATGGTACATGCCCTTGACAGGAATTGAACCCGGGACCCTTCGGTCCACAGGCCTACACTCTATGCACTGTGTCAAGCTGGATAGGACAAAATCTCCTCATCTTAATAAAAGGTTTCAGGTATGCTTACTGGAACCACAGCCCTCCTTTGATCAAGAGTCTGAAAACCTTACCATTAAAGTTAGCCTAACATGATTCCATAAGGAGCCCTATGCCAGTCCACACTTCCGCGTGATAATTATGCTTTACAACAAATGATAATGTAAAATTCAAGTATGTAAGAAGCTTCCATTACATATCCATTTAATGGAAAAATGTGGTAGATAAAGAGAGAGTAAGGTAAATGTCTATGTGCTGAAATGGAACAATGGAAAAACAGTAAGGTTTTCAACAGTAAATAAAGCACATCTCCACTGACGCAAAACAGTTTTTTTAAAAGTAGAGAAAGGGTATATGCTTACATATCAGGAGAAATTCTGAATACCCACCAAACTGTTAACACTGGTTGTCTTCTAGGAAAGGAGACTTGAGTGAATGGGTTAAGAGGAAAATTTAGTTTTTACTATTTAAAAACATCAAAGTTTAAAATAGTTGACTGTGTGTTAACTTTACAAAAAATATATTAAAAACTTTAATAGATTTCAGCTTACATTAAAAATAAGAAAACTGTCAGCTACTTGAGAATCTATAAAAATAAAAATATTAATCACAAGAACCTTTCAGTGCTTATGTAAATTAGCAAACTTCTTTAACTTCATTCATTTTCACTATAAATATATTCCTTAAGAACTTAAATCCTGAGAGAAACTAAGATGGCGGCATAGGTAAACACCGGGAAATTGCCGCCTCTCACAACAATTGAAAATTACCGCAAAGGACAGAGCAAACATCATCCAGAACAACAGGAAGGCTGGCTGAGTGTAAATTCTACAACTAGAAGGAAAGAAAAGCACGCTGAGAGCCAAAGGAGCTGCAGAGGTGAAGTGCAGAGGTACAAGTGCAGAGGTACAAGTGCAGAGGTACAAGTGCAGAGGTACAAGTGCAGAGGTACGGCGGCTCGCGCGCACGCGAGGAAAGGGGGTGGCACCTGAGGACGCGGCTGTCTTTTTGAATCACAAGCTCCCGACTGCTCTGAACTCCGGTTCCAGGAAGTCTCTGGGGACCCAGGACTCATACGGGGAGAAGCTGGTCTGTCCGGCAGCGGGCGAACTTGAGGGCGGCTTTCCCTCAGAGGTGCTTGCAGCAATTAGCGGGTCACTGAGACCCGCGACTCCGGGCGGAGAATCAGCCATAGCTCCTTGATCCGCCCTTTGATTCCCTGAGACCCCGCCCCACCCAGGCTGTGGCAGAGGCTTTTGCATGTGAATGTACCTAACTGCAGCCAAGCCAGGCAGACCCGGAACTTCCAAGAGAAGGCCCAAGGCCCCACAGCGGCTTGCATTGCTTCACAGCTGAGCCTCTTCGTGGCTCCTGCTGTGTGGCCTCAGGCAGAGGCTGAATTAGCACCTCCTTAGATCCAGGAGCCACTGTACCCAGTGGTCAGAGGGGGACCATCCAGATTGCAACTCCTCAGATCCATAAGGGACACACTCAGGGAGCAGACTCAGTGAGCACCAAAGCTCCACTGAAGCAAGTCTTGCCCCAGAAGGGTGTCTTCAGCACAGAAGTTCTCCCACTTTAGACACAGCTGATTCTCACAGCCAATTGGCCTGGAGGTCAATTCCTCCCAGTGATCCTACAACAACCAAGGCACCAAGAGTGCACCAAGAGTGTCCACCCCAGGTAACTGGGGAGGCTGAGCTACTGGGCCCTACAGGACACCTGGCACGCAGGGCCACTCTATCAACACAGGGAAGCTGCCAAAATAAGGAGACAAAGAAACAGGTCACAAATGGCAGAAATGGAGGAAAGCAAACGAGTGGATATAGAGTTCAAGGCCACGTTTATAAGGTTTTTCAAGAATTTTATGGAAACCGCCGATAAATTTAATGAATCCCTCAATAAGTATAGTGAGACCATGGAGGACATGAAAAAGGACCAACTAGAAATTAAGCATACACTGATTGAAATAAAGAATAATTTACAGAGATCCAGCAGCAGACAAGAGGATCCCAAGAATCAAGTCAAAGATTTGAAATACAAAAAAACAAAAAATACCCAACCGAAAAAGAAAAAAGAAAAGAGATTCCAAAAATATGAAGATAGTGTAAGGAACCTCTGGGACAACTTCAAGCGTACCAACATCAGAATTATAGGGGTACCAGAAGGAGAGAGAGAGCAAGATATTGAAAACCTTTTTGAAGAAATAATGACAGAAAACTTCCCCTACCTGGTGAAAGAAATGGACTTACAAGTCCAGGAAGCGCAGAGAACCCCAAACAAAAGGAATCCAAAGAGGACCACACCAAGACACATCATAATTAAAATGCCAAGAGCAAAAGATAAAGAGAGAATCTTAAAAGCAGCAAGAGAAAGACAGTCAGTTACCTACAAGGGAGTACCCATACGACTGTCAGCTGATTTCTCAACAGAAACCATGCAGGCCAGAAGAGAGTGGCAAGAAATATTCAAAGTGATGAATAGCAAGAACCTGCAACCAAGATTACTTTATCCAGCAAAGCTATCATTCAGAATAGAAGGTCAGATAAAGAGCTTCACGGATAAGAAAAAGCTAAAGGAGTTCATCACCACCAAACCAGCATTATATGAAATGCTGAAAGGTATTCTTTAAGAAGAGGAAGAAGAAGAAAAAGGAACTCTTACCATTTGCCACAGCATGGATGGAACTGGAGAGCGGATAAATACCACATGATCTCACTCATTTGTGGAATATAATGAACAACATAAACTGATGAACAAGGTCTGATCCAGAGACGGAGAGGCATTGATTGGACTGTCGGGACTTGGAGGGAAGGTAGGGGAGGGTGGGGGTAAGGGGGAAAGATCAACCAAAGGACTTATATGCAAGCATATAGGCCTAATCAATGGACATGGACAACGGGGGGGTGAGGGCATGAGCGGGGGGGGGGTGGGGGGGTAGAGGGTAACGTGGGGACAAGGACACATATGTAATATCTTAATCAATAAAAAATATATTAAAAAAAAATAAAGTTTAATTTCAGAAAAAAAAAAAAAGAACTTAAATCCTTCTGCAAAGTAAAGAGTAGCACTTAACACAGTGGGACAAATATAGAGTGGTCAAAGATCTATATGATATGAACTACAAGGAGGGGCCTGCTCTAATGGTAACTCTACAGTGAACCCTCTGCTTTCCCTCAAGTAAAGGTCACTCTCTAAAGCTAACAATTTTTATAAACTGAGCTCAATGCATTTTTTTTTTTTGCATACTGCTTATTTCTTTTCATTTCAAAATTAATGCGAACTCACTAAAAAAAAAACCACTAAAACTAAAAAAAAATTGGGGAAAGGATAAGAGCCAGCATCTCATAACCTAAAAATAATGGTTAACACTTTGACAGTCTCAGTGAAACTGCACCCAAAACTGAGTAAGGCTTACCTGAAATGCTATGAGATAGCACAATGCAGCCAGCTCAGAGAGAGCTCTCCACTGCACATCACTATGCTGACCCATCTTCAAAAGCAGAGAACCAGCATGCATGTAGAAATGTCCTTTTATTTCTAAGAAAATAGCTGAGAGTTCATCATTTCCACCCACACAAGATTTCACAGACTGAAGAGCACCATCAAAACTGTAATATTAAAATATTAAACAGATCTAAAATTTGTTGCACTGTGAATCATGGCTTCGATATTTAACTCAAAATAAATTTATTTCAAGCTTATCTTCCATATTCAAACTCCTAACAATCCATTCTTCTCTATTTTATAAATTATGAATCACCCAGTACTTATTTTTATTCCACATATGCCCTATACTTCAAGCTAAACCTCTAGAATGACCTATTACAAAACTTAGTTCAAGCCCTCCATTCATAGAAAAGATATAGATCAAATAATAAGATTACTTATTATGGTATACTAGAGGCCTGGTGCACAAAATCCATGCACTCGCGGGTGGGGGTTATCCCTCAGCCCAGCCTGCACTCTCTCTCAGTCAAGGAGCCTTCAGGGAATGTCCAACCGCTGTGGAGGCTGGAGAGGCTCCCGCCATCGCCACTGCACTCACCAGCCATGATCCCAGCTTCTGGCTGAGCAGCACTCCCCCAGTGGGAGTGCACTGACCACGAGGGGGCAGCTCCTGCGTTGAGCGTCTGCCCTCTGGTGGTCAGTGTGCATCATAGTGACTGGTCATTTTGCTGTTTGATCAATTTGCATATTAGCCTTTTATTATATAGGATTACATAGGATGTTTCATAATATACCAGGATAAAACTGGGAAACTAAATTTTCTAGTTTCTTCTCAATAATATGGTTTCATTATTTAATTCAAACTTGGAAGTTCTAAAATTAGGTATGCCTTATTCAAATTATAAGTAACAGATAAGATATTTCAGTTGTCAATATCGTAATTGCTCTTCTTACCATATAACTACAGAGTTAAATAAATTGTATTTCTCACTATTATTTGTAATCTATGTACTAATCAGTGCTTCTAAATCAAATGGTCCTCAGAGGCATGGATTTATTACAATGAAACTTTAAGTACAAAATCAGATAGCCATATTTGGCCCATAAGCCCTAGTTAAACCCTACACTCAACTAACGTCGTTATGCAAATCCAAGTGCTGTTTTTGTTTAATGGCATTTATTTTAACAAAAGAGACACTGGTCCTCAAAAATCAAAATTTAGGAAAACAGAAAAATCATGTATTATATTTTCATTATCTTGTTTCTAAGCTAAATTATTGTTTTCTGAAATACTACTCATGCTAACTATTTATACTAGAACATCTGACAAATGAAGTTTGTTCTTCGATTTTTTTTTCTCAAGATTCCATCATTTTTGGAAATAAAATATGGAATAGTTAGAACAGTCATTTTCGGCTTGATTCTATATTAAGCATGTCAAAATTGAATATTAACTATAAAAATAATTTAATCAAGCCTGAACAGTTTTATGTTCTCTAAAAATCAAAGTCGTATAAAACCAATTATAATATCCCCACACAAGAAGAATTCCTTCCAAGTGGTTGATCGTATTAAATATTACCCATGGGTACACTATAAAAATGCAGTAAAGATGTTTAGACCAATGAACTGAATTACTACAAAAAGAAAATTTGTGATTTACACTGAAGTCCACATAACATACCTTTCCAATAAATCTCTGCTTTCTTGTATGTCTCTAGTGGAGAGCGTGAGAAGCATAAGATTAGCATAGGCCAGAAGTAAGTCTTTATTGGTTGCTTGCCAGTTACTTTTATCAGAATCCAAACACTGTAAAGATTCCAGATATTCCTATTTTGTAGAAAGAACAATAGGTTATAAAACTTATCAACTGTTATAAAACTTATCCGTTTATGCCTACAAATTCCTTTGCCCTTTCCTATTTGTAAAACCACATTTTTACATCAGCCTATAAAAACATATAGCTATATAAGTGCATACACACACAACACACACACATAAATATGTCAATTATATTTTTCCAAACTATCAATTACAAATTGAGAACATCCTAATAAAAATTTCATTTCACAGGTGCTGTACATAAATAAAAGAAATTTTTATCTTGGGGAGCACTGCTTAAAGGCATGTATGGTAATTATCTATATAGAAGTGTAGAGACCCAGCAATGTTTACCTACCTTAAGGGTTTGTACAACACACAAATTCCATTCTAAACTTGAACGCAAAGCTACGTTTCTCTCTGCCTCGTGGCAGTGGGCCACAGCATCCTTCAATCTTTTATTTGAGCGATATAGCTCTACTAGTCGAATGTTCACATAGACATCATCAGGTCTTGCATAAAGTTCTGACTGAATCAAGTCAAAAAGTTTATTCCATCCATCTTCACCTTTACAATCTAAAAGCTGTTCCTAATTTAAAATAAAAAATCATTAATTTAGAAAAACACCTGTGCAATTTTAAACACATCATGGCTCCTGTGAGCACCATTCTACCGTGTCTAGCTTCAGTAAATTGAAACCAGAAATACTATCTTACATACTTTATTAGCCCCTTCAGAGTTGAAGCTAAACCTCAAAAAAGTTATGTGCAAACATCTGCAATTATATAGTTGTCCATTTCACCTCAAAGACTACTAGGACTACTACCCATCCTTGTACACCCATCCCAGGCATTATCAGAGCCTAGACCTCCCATCAATCCTCATACCAGGTCCTTATTCTCAAACTGCTCTGGATCTCCCCTAAATCTTACTCAGTCCCTTGCCCACTATGCTCCTACACTGGAGCTCCTACTGTTCACTATCTTCTCAGTGTCTTCACTCTCTGGTCTTAACTGAATGGTGTATAACTTGAGATAGCCGCCATCATTTCTCTGCCATGGAAGCTTTTTCTCTGCAAGTAGAGGAAGTGGGGTTTGTGACCTATTCACACCCACTGTCACTTCCAAATAATATTTCCTCATACCTGTTTAGAACCCTGCTCTCTAAAGGACATGCTATCCAGCTACTCCATCTATTCCTCCTCATTAGCAACTGGAATAGAAAACTCTCCCTTCATCCTTTACTGTCATTGGTTATTATCAATTACTGTCATTATCAACTGAAAGACGTACAAGGTATATAACTGCCTGGCTACTCAGTTCTTTAATTACCTCATCCCCACTGGTTCTACAACTCCAGCCCCAGCCATCCATTTGACATTGACAAAGGTCTGCAAAATATATATTTTGGTCATACCAATCAGACCACCACACTCCTCTTACTCTTCCACCTCACTAGGAACTCACATAACCTCACTGCCACATATATTTACATCTACTACATGAAAGCTCCATTCAATACAGTGACATCACCAAGTCTTAGTTTTCCATAAAACATACACACACACACACACACACACACACACACACACACACAGTCCTTTGTTAAGTTAAAATGCCATAATCCCAATATCCATAATTACTACTTGCTTACACATCCTCTCAATTAATTCCATGTCTTTCCTTAGAAGAAGCCTATCATCTGTGTTCTCTGTATCTCTACAATAACAGCTGTGCCACTAAGGGCATTTGGAAATTTAGGAAATCTCAAACTGGTAATGCCTAGAACAAATCCTACTGTACCTTTAATAGACTCACTTTCTCCATTCCTTAAAAATATAACTTCATACACCTCCTCTTTCCTCAAATTTCCCACACTTTCCTTCAACCCTCACTTTCAACTTACGATCACAATTCATTCTTCACTGAGAAAACTGAAGCCATCAGATGTAAATTCCATTCTGTCATATCTACTTATACTTACTTCTCTCTGCTCCCTTCACCTAGCAAAGACCAAGCTCTCTATAAGTGCTATTTTTTTCATTGCCCTCTCTCCTTACCAATCACTCTACTTCTTCTCGATCACTTCCATAAACTTACACTTGGCCTTTCCATATCTGCAAAAAGCCCTAGATTTCAAGTGTATGTTTAAAAAGAAATAAGTAAAGATGAACACCAATATGAATGCTTTTCAAAAACTCTACTCTCATACTCAAGATCTCATACCAATATTTTCATTCATTAAATAAATGCCAAAAAACTATTTCCCTTAAGCCTTAAACTTTAAAAACCAGAATTCCTTTGCTAAAAAGTTACATGTAAGAAAGGTTTAGCTTTAAACAACATCTTTAAAGAGTTATTAAACAAATCCGGGATCCTGCGGAAGCATCTCTCTAACTTTTGATACACGGCAAGAAAAATAATCTCCTATCATTATAAATGCTCCTTAATGTCACTGTCACCAAATGGACTGAACTGTCATGGCCAATAGGGGAATTGTGTTTGAGGCATAACACAAAGATAATAAATAGGGTAAAGAAATTTACACACTTAGACCTAACATTTTAGATTAATATTTTAAACCCAGCTGCTTCTCGTGGAGAGAAAAAAACTTAATAAGCCTGTATCATGACTGCAGTGGTGATGACATGAACTTATAGATTTTTTAAATATTTTTTATTGATTTTAGAAAGAGAGGAAGGGGAGGGAGAGAGAGAAAGAGACATTGATGAGAAACACTGATTGGCTGCCTCTTGCATGCCCCCTACCAGAATCAAGCCACAACCCGGGCATGTACCCTGACCAGGAATCAAAATGGCAACCTTAGTGCATGAGACGACACCTACCAACTGAGCCACACCAGCTGGGCATGAATCTATACATGTAATAAAATTTAAAAGAACTATACATAGACATTGTATCAATGTCAAATTCCCAGGTCTACATTATACTGTAGTTACGTAAGATGTAACCACTACAGAAAGTTGGATGAAGTATACACATGATCTCTCTGTGCAATCTTACAACTTCCAGTGAAAAACCTGTAATTATTTCCTAATAAAAAGTTGTTAAAATTCTATCAGAAACATGTATAATGAAGGTAGGTGGTTCTTAAAAACAATATACACTTAAAGTTCCATTTAGCTAGCACATTTGAAAAAACTTTATCCAAGAGTTATTTTGCAAACCAGTATATTATATTCAGTAAAGAATAAAAATCAGAATTGGTTAATATATAAGCAACAACTTCCTATCATTTTTAATAATTACCTGTAACATCATAGAGAAACTGTCATTGAAGTTTTGCTTGAAAACCTCACTATCCCATAACACAATCCTTTCCATTTTTAGATAGTAATAAGCCTAAATTGTCATCCTATGGATAATTTTTACCAAATGAAGTAAAAATTTTGTATCGAACAGCTTGATTTAATTATTAGCTCCACCATCTAGTTATAAAACTGTAAATCCCTAAAATGTTAATAATTGAATAAGAATGAGATACCATTTGTAAAGCATAATAGTGCTTAATAAGACAGCATATGCTCAGAAAGTTTTGAAGAAAAATATTTTTTTTGACATTATTTTTTAGAGGTATAATTGACATATGACATTGTATTAATTTAAGATATACAACATAATAATTTGATATATACATACTGGAAAATGATTTCCACAGTAAGTTTAGATAACATCACCTCACAGAGTTACAAATTAGTTTTTCTCATGATAGTAACTTTTAAGATCTACTCTATCAACTTTCAAATATACAGCATAGTATTGTTAACAGTCACCATGCATGCTGCATATTACATCCCCAGAACTTAACCATCTTAACACTGGAAGTTTATATCTTTTGACCACCTTCACCCATTACCCATCAACTCCCCACCCACACACACAATATTTTAATGTCTCCTACTGAAAAGTCATTTAACTCCAAATATTAGAAATAGTTGTGACTACCTTTAGTTTTCCCAACTGCTTTTATCATGTTTTATTCCTTTTTTTTACCTTTAATTTATAAATTGCAGGACTTCCTGGGAAAAGTTTAGCTGCTCTTTCAACCCAGTATTTTGCTCTTCCATCAGTAACATCATTTTTACAAAGCAATTCTGCAATCTTCAACACAAGATCTTTTTGTGTTGGGTTTAATTCCACTGAACGCTGATATCAGAAAATAAATAATAAATTAGTAGGGTTCCTAAAGTACAGATACTCATATATACACATGAAAAACTCTGTTCCTAAATGATAACATGCTATTTCAAAGTTATTACAATTAAACTTAATGTCCTGAAATATTTTTGAAGGTAAATAAAAAGTATGTTTTTAGTAGTTATGTCAGGAAGAAGGAAAAAAAGAAAGAAAACCACACATATAAGAACAGCATTTCTGACCACATTAGGCTTAAAATTTATAGGTATTCTTCTTTTCAAAGTGCTAACCTCGTAATTACAAATATAGTGTACTTTGGGCCAAATAATTTAAAATCAGTTCCATGCTGTGCCACTTGTTTTCTTTTGTTTTGTTTTGTTCATCCTCACCTGAGGATATTTTTCCATTGCTTTTTAGGGAGAGTGGAAGAGAGAGGGAAAGACACAGAGAAACATTGATGTGAGGGAAACACATCGATTGGTTGCCTCCTACGCAAGTCCCAACCAGAACCCAGGCCAGGGAGGAGCCTGCAACCAAGGTACGTGCCCTCTGACCAGAATCAAACCCAGGATTCTTTGGTCTGCAGGCCGACGCTCTATCCACTGAGCAAACTGCTAGGGCTAAGCTGTGTCACTTAATAGTACTGTGATACCTTGTTTTCATGACATCCATAATAAATATCTGAATTATTTATTATATAAATTACGCTGGGCATTGTGTTTGGCTGTACAAAGCCTAAATTTTAATCTTATAGTTTACCTTATAACATTCGACAGCTTTGTCTATGTTTTCCTCCACTTCATAAAGAAGACCAAGAAACCTGTGAGCTTTGGGATCCCTTTCTTGCACATTAATATATGTAGATATGTATCTGTTTAAAAACAATATTAAAAAAGTAATCTTTAAATAATCACATTTACAGTTATATTTAAATAAGTGAAGGGTATATCTTAAACCAAAGCAATCACTCAACTAATTTATATTATTATAATTACTGACTACCACTATTTAAACTAGAATATGAAGAGAACTCAAAGTATCAAACACAAAAGGATAAATACTTAAACACAAACACACATACAAAGCTGACAACATACTATTACCACTAAATGCTACATTTATCAAATGGTTTTTCCAGTGCTACCCACATATAATAAATTAATACATGAACTGTTTTTTCTTCCTGATTACATTTTGGAAAAACACTAAAGAGTTTGCATAAAAATCAGAAAGTGATGAGAGTAAATATTTTAAGTCATCATAATGTGAATACTAAAGAGCAACAATTTCCCAAATAACAACTAACAGAATGTATTTATCTTAAAACAAGAAAACAATATCTAACAGTATTGTGTATCCAGCTAAACTAGAGCAGAGAAAAAATTACTAAATATCGTATCAAATACAGGTCATTTTCATTTCTTAAACCAAGTAACAACTAAAAAATAAGGAAATATCTTCTAGATTCAGAGAGTAATATCCTAAGGGCAACAATGAAGCAAAAAGTGTCACATTAATAAGGAGGGTTAACAGCCCAATGCTATTAAATAAAAGTGCTCTCACTTTCCTTATCAGCATTTCCATCTTCCCATATATGCCTTTAATATCTACCTCCCTCTTCATTTCCTCCTTTCCACAACTGCAAATCAGCAAATCAGATCAACAGCCTTCTTGGCCATACTATGTGTGAGACAAAGCCTCAGTGTGACCTACTGAGTAAATTAAAAATCTATTATACAAGCTATACTCCTGTCCAGAAATCAAAGTTTAATTTTGTATTCACTGCTGTTTTCCAGCTGATTAATATACCAGATATGTAACCAGGAAGAAATTAAGATACAAGCATGGTTCTCTTTTATTCTAACCCAGGACAATCTTTAGAAAAAGTATTTTAAGGCAAACAATTTGCCTTTGGTAGGCATGCAGAAAATACTCATTCCAGGCTCAATCTCCAAGGAATCTAGGCTAGTCCTTAAGATCAGTCTTAGTGATGAATCCCTTATTTCCAGGACATACTTAGGAAGAACTGCTGAAAAACAGCAACAGTTTTTTACCCATTTCAAAGAAGAACATGATTTTGAAAAACTAAAGCATGTTTAGTTTGGTACTTACTTTTTAGCAAGATCATATTCTTTAGCTTCATAGTACAGCTTCGCAAAGTAGAATCCTTTCATTGATTTCTAAAAAACATTAAAAGTTCTTTATTTTTCATATTTTAAATTTTGAAAATTTTTCGTAAGAACTAAATCTGTTCTAATAAAATTCATATTAATATATTTCATTTTTGTTCACTTAAGAGGTAAATGAAATTGCTTGTAGAAATGCATGTATGCTCTGAAAGCCACGATTCCACATAATAATCCTATGTAATAAAAGCCTAATATAATATGCTAAATATCCGGTCATCCAGTCAGCCATTCAACCAATCAAAGTGTAATATGCTAATAATATGCTAGGGCCACTCAACTGCTCGTTATGATGTGCACTGACCACGAGGGGGCAGTCGACTAGTCGCTATGACGTGCCCTGACCACCAGGGGGCAGATGATCTGACCTGTAGGTTAGCTTGCTGCTGGGGTCCGGCTGACCAGAACTGAGCAAGACAGGCTGGACACACCCTGGAGCCCTCCAGCGGTCCCTCCCTAACCCCGATTGTGCACCAGTGGGGTCCCTAAACCTGGCCCTCTCGCAATCTAGGCTGAGGGACCTCCCCTGAGTGGACAAATTTTGTGCACTGGGCCTCTAGTTTTCATCATAAAACAAAGCAAATTTAAGTACAGCAACATAAGATCATTATCAGAAATTAAGAATTTATGTCAGTGCCCTGGCCAGGTATGGCTCAGTTGGTTGGGCGTCATCTCATACACCAAAAAGGTTCTGGGTTGGATTCCTAGTCGGGGCACATATCTGGGTTGCAGGTTTCATCTCTGGTGGGGGTGCATGTGGGAGGAAAACCATCAATGTGTTCTTTCTCTCTCTCTCTCTCTCTCTCTCTCTCTCTCTCTCTCTCTCTCTTCCCCCCCCCCCAGCCACCTCACCTCTCTCCTCTCCACCCCCCCCCACCTCTCAGTAAGCATATCCTCTAGTGAAGATTTTTTTAAAAAGAATTTATGATTGTTTCTTTTTTTTTTTTAATATATTTTATTGATTTTTTACAGAGAAGAAGAGAGAGGGATAGAGAGTTAGAAACATCGATGAGAGAGAAACATCGATTAGCTGCCTCCTGCACGCCCCCCACTGGGGATGTGCCCGCAACCGAAGTACATGCCCTTGACCGGAATCAAACCTGGGACCCTTGAGCCTGCAGGCTGACGCTCTATCCACTGAGCCAAACCAATTCGGCTATGATTCTGTTTCTAAGGCAAAAGCTTTAAAAATCATTTGGTGCCACTCTCTTACTTTACATATAAGTAAACAGATACTTTGGGATGGATGGGGAAGTATACCAGTAACCTGTATTCTACCACGTGAAAGCCTTTACAGGTAAGAATAAGCAACTACTACTTCAGACCTATTAAGGCACAGGGGATTTATTCCCTGATCCAGGCAGTATTCTCTGTACAGATCAGTATTTTATACTTAGGAATTAAAAGGCAGAAATAAACACTGAATTCTTCTGGTAATAAGCCAAGCCCACACTCTGGCTCTTTTATTTCTATACTAGAAGCCCAGTGCACGAAATCACGAAACTCCACCCACTAGCCGCCCCGCCTCGCTCGCAGCCCCACCCACCCACATGCACCCACCCACCCGCACCAGTCTTTGGCCATTACAGCATTAGGGCCACGGGCTTTTTATATATTTATAGATGCTCCAAAGTCCAGAACGTCGGGACACAATAGCTAGTTTTATATACATGTCATGGGAGTATACAGCCATTAAATATCTTATATTTTTAAACTATACAAGGACACAGAAAAAAAATCAAGGTACTAAGTGAAAAACAGTAGTCTACAAAGCAGTATATTTTCATTTACTGATAGGCAGTTAGACAGACATGAGCAGAGCAAGGATGATAGATCAGTACAGAAGGTCATCAGGGTGGAAAGCCCTGGGTACCAGACAAGGGGCAAAACAGAGAAAGCATGGGCCTCATCCCCAGGTTAATCTTTCCTCCTAACATATCCCTGGTTATGCAGTTTGAACTCTTTGATCGTTCATATTGATGATCATGGCTTTAGACCCTCTGATCTTTTCCTTCCTCATAACATCTAGGCTTCAGTTGTATTTCAGCTCCAGGCCCAGAAAAGCAGCAAAACCAGACAAGTAATACCATGGTTGCCTCAGGACTAGCTACAATGACTAATGACCCCCTGGTTCCAACCAATTAGTGGAGACCAGGACCGTGAAAGAGCACACCTGGAAAGCTTATGAGTATTCTATTGCGACCCTTCACTGAGACCTTCCCTAGGATTCCTGCCAGCAAGAGATAAATACCTTTGACACAAAGGACCCCATTCCCTTCCTCCTCTTCTACCCCTCCAGGCATATATCTCCTAAACTCCAAAGAACCCCACAAGACTTGCAACCAGGGAAGCAATGGGAATGGCAGCTTGTTCTGGGCTAATAACCCCCTAAACCTGTCTTCAAGGCCCTCTTTTTCTCTGACTTCCCAGTGAACCAAAGCTGCCCAACCTAGGCTCTCCTATTTGCATCTTCCTTGTTTCACTGTCCCAAATGTCTTTTTGCTGCAGCCAATAAATTCTTGCTGGTTTTGTTGTACTTTGTTTCTTTTTTTAAAAAAAAATTTTTTTATTTCAGAGAGGAAGGGAGAGGGAGAGGGAGAGGGAGAAAGCGAGAAAAACATCAATGATGACAGAGAATCATTGATCGGCTGCCTCCTGCACACCCCCTACTGGGGATCAAGCCATAACGCAGGTATATGTCTTGACCAGGAATCGAACTGTGACCTCCTGATTTATGGGTCCATGATCAACCACTAAGCTATGCTGGCAGGGCTGCACCTTGTCTCTTGATTAAGATCTTTCAAGAAGACTAGAACCAAGGTCTCATTGTCTCCCTGGTAAAAAAAAATTTATCTGTAAAAACTGCATATTCAGGCCCTGGCCAATGTGGCTCGGTTGAGCATCGTCCCATGCACCAAAAGGTTGCTGGTTCAATTCCTGATCAAGGCACAGGCCAAGGTTGTAGGATCAATCCCCAGTAAGGGGTGTGCAGGAAGCAGATGATCATTGTTTCGCTTTCCCATCAATGTTTCTGTCTCTATCTCTCCTTTCTGTCTCTCTAAAAATTAATTTTTTTTTAATAATTTTTTTTAAATATATTTTATTTATTTTCCACAGAGAGGAAGGGAGAGAGATAGAGTTAGAAACATCGATGAGAGAGAAACATCGATCAGCTGCCTCCTGCACATCCCCCACTGGGGATGTGCCCGCAACCCAGGTACATGCCCTTGACCGGAATCGAACCCGGGACCTCTCAGTCCGCAGGCTGACGCTCTATCCACTGAGCCAAACTGGTTTCGGCTAAAAATTAATTTTTAAAAATCTTTAAAAAATGCATATATAGGATCTATTCATTGTGCCTACTGTTCACCAGGCACTTTCTGGGGAACTGAAAGTCTCTGTCTTCAGAAAGCCTGTATTTTAGGAGAAATGAGAAGCAAATAGTATGGGAGGACAGTGTACTATTTCACAGTATTTCATCAATTATCTGCAATATGCCAACTTTTAACAAAGATAAAATCAATATTCATCTCACAAACCACAGATATTCTAACGCTGCCTGTTTAGTAAGAAGTGTTTCTCCTTTTTTAGTTGGTAATGGTGGTGGGGCACAAACAATGGCATTATAAATTCTATAAAACTAGAGGCCCGATGCACAAAATTAGTGCAAGAGTAGGCCTTTGGAGCCCCGACTGGTCCCGCAGCCCTGCCCTCCACCCACTGGTCGTTCCAGAAGGTTGTTCCGCCTTCCGGTCTAATTAGCATATTAGCTCTTTATTATATAGGCCTAGAGGACTGGTGCAAGAAATTCGTACACGGGGGGGGGAGAGGGGGCGGAGGCGGGGCGTGTCCCTCAGCCCAGCCTGCACCCTCTCCTATCTGGGCACCCCTCCAGGGATGCCTGGTGGGATTGGGCGTAAACGAGCAATTGGACATCCCTCTCACAATCCAGGACTGCTGGCTCCCAACCACTCGCCTGCCTGCCAGTCTGATTACCCCCTAACCACTCCCCTGCCAGCCTGATTGACACCTAACTGCTCCCCTGTCTGCCCGAATGCCCCTAACTGCCCTCCCCTGCTGAACTGATCCCATCAACTGCCCTCCCTTGCAGGCCTGGTCACCCCCAACTACCCTTCCCTGCCAGCCTGGTCACCCCCAACTGCCTTCCCCTGTTGGCCTGGTCACCCCCAACTGCCCTCCCCTGATGGCCTGGTTCCCCCCCAACTGCCCTCCCCTGCAGGCCTGATCGCCCCCAACTGCCCTCCCCTGCAGGCCATCTTGTGGTGGCCATCTTTGACCACATGGGGGTGACCATCTTGTGTGTTGGAGTAATGGTCAATTTGCATATTACCTCTTTATTAGATAGGGTGAGAGGCAAGGCTGTCAAAAAAAAGGTCTCATTGCCCTAGCTGGTTTGGCTCAGAGGACAAAGCACTTCAGCCTGCTAACCAAAGGGTCTCAGATTCAATTCTGGTCAAGGTCAGGTGCCTGGATTGCAGGTTCAATTCCCAGGCCCTAATCAGGGCATGTGCAGGAGGCACCAATTGATGTGTCTCTCTCACATCGGTGTTTCTCTCTCTCCCCCTCCCTCCCTTCCACTCTCTAAAAAAAATGTATCCTTAGGCGAGAATTAACAAATAAATAAATAGATGATAAATATAGATAAATGGCATATTAATGTGCCTAAGAAGTAACTAAGTCAAAGTAACATGAAAGAGGTTCTGTCTAAATGCTTCCAAGAATCCCCTTAATAAGACAGCACAGCAGATGGAATTTCAGATAATTCCCCACCGCCTTCCCTGACTGAAGCATGCCATCATTATTTATCACAAAATCCTATTTATTTCCATCACTACATTTATAAAAGTTGTAATTATTTGTATTGCTTTTACTAGCATGAATGTTTGTCCTCAAAACTGTAGGCTCTATCAGGATAGGGCCCCTGTGGCTTATAACTACCACGGATCCAAGAACATTATCTCACGGGTGATATA